CTTCTCAGTGAACTACGGCTCTGTGAAGTAAATGCTGCTCCATCTGAAAGCATGTGAAAATACCACATTTAATAACATATTTTTACTCCCAACTCACTTCATAACGTCAGTCGAGTGTTTGAAATAAATCCTTCTGTGAGATGATGTGGCTTCTTACACAGAATAAGGCACGCAACATATTTCATAGTATTTAAGCAGTGATAAAGGCACTGCATTATAAATATACTTTATTTTAATGAAAATTATAATAATAAGAACTCAGATAAACCGTATATTGCCGTAGTCGTGTGTTTATTAGTCACGTTGAATCAATGAAAGCAGTTGAATCTTCTGTTTATTCAGCTCCAGCGATAGGCATTTTCTGGGTTTCTTCTGCGAGGCGTATTTGGAGTTTCAGCGCGAGAGCGCCCTCTGGCCTTTGGATGGAGATTTACTGCTGATCACAGAACCGTGCTTCACTGAAAGATACACATGACAATCGCAGCTTCCGTCTAATCGCGATCTCGATTCCATTTCGATTTATCGTGCAGCCCTACCATCAACTTAATGTATCTCAGAGTGAAAAAGAATTTACAATGAGCAATAATGTTAAGGGATTTACTTTTATGCATCAAGATTTGAAAAGTAGGCTAGGATATTATTGGATAATATTATGTTTCTCTGTTCAATCAGACTTACATTACCATTCAAAGGTTTGGGATCAGTACTTTTTTGAACTAGTACTTTTGAAAGAAATTTTTACTTTCAAGGATGCATTAAAATGATCAAATTATAATGTCACAAAAGGTTTCTTGTATAATGCTGTTCTTTTGAACTTTCTATTAATTAAAGAATCCTGAAAAAAATGTATCACCGTTTTCACAAAAATATGAAGCAGCACAACTGTTTTCAACATTGATAATAATCAGAAATGTTTCTTGAGCAGCAAATCAGAATATTAGAATGATTTCTGAAGATCATGTGACACTGAAGACTGCAGTAATGATGCTGAAAATCTAGCTTTGATCACAGGAATAAATGATACTTTATAATATATTACAATAGAAAGCATTTATTTTAAATTATAATAATATTTCGCAATATTACTGTTTTTTTCTGTATTCTTTGATCAAACAAATGCAGACCCCAAACTTCTGAATAGCAATGTAGTTACATCAGCAAAAAAGAAACAGTCACGTCATCGGTGGAGAATGTTATTATTTTTAAATAATTTGCATTGATTAATCCTGCATAATAACACCAGGAACATTTATTAAGATGCTAATTATGGCTAATTCAGATTTTAAACAGTTCTTTTCTTCAGTATCTAAACATCTCAGCGTTTGCTGCTCACTTGTCTGTGTTGGCAGTTTTGCGGAACTCGCGGACGGTCATCGGCTTCTTCTGGATGTTGTACTGAGTGAAGAGACCTGATTGGCCAGTGACCACCTGTTGAATCGGTGCGGGAATCACCAGATCATCAATGTCATCATATGTGCGCCGGGGCTTCCAGTCCTTTGGTGGCACCACCTGACAAACAAGCACATCAGTCAGCAAACCTTCAATGATCATCCACAACACCCAAAAAACAGTCTCTCTCAGCATTTTGAGCTGAATGAAAATCTTGTACACTAACCTTAGCCATCCCGGCTCTGTGAGCCCCCTGCGACTCCATATACACAATGTATCTGTTGAAGTCTTTGAACTCCTCTCTTGTGGGATGAAAGGTCATGATCCTGGTGGCAGGACTCTGGGAGCTTTGAGAGACCGAGTCCGAAGCCATTCTGTCACTTGGACTGTAAGAGAAACAAGAAGATGGAGATTTCAGCAACAAACACATCAACAAAACTAAATACGCAACATACTCATGCTTTTTTGAAAAACAACCACACCACAGCAACACAAACCAACACCACCAATTACATTTTTATTGCAACAAGTGTCTTTACACCAGACTAATAAACTTCACATGCAAACCACCATCACTATAATAACTACCACTACTAGGCAAGACAATTTACTTCGAACACATTTTATACACATATATAATTGTGCTAATTTAAAGTGATTCAAAATATTTGCATAAGGAAAAGATAAAGCAATCTAGTTTAAATAATTTAAAAATAAATATTTAAGAACATAATAAAAAGCTCAGTTTCAAAAAAAGTATTTAATTAAACATAAATATAAACAACATAATTCATAAAATAATTATACATTTTTAATTATAAATATTTTAAAGATTATATTTAAAAAGAATTAGAAACGATAATAGGAGGACAGAAAAAGTATAAATATTAGGCCTACAACTTGTTGGAGCAACTAAATACAAACAATTCAGGGGAAAAAACTAGAGCACATTAATACTGATTTAAGTAGAAAACAACAGATTGAATTAACTTGTAACAGTTAACAACATGCTCATAGATTTTACTGACAGAAATAAACTTAATGAACTGTTTTAATAAAATCAACATTATACAGAGCTGCACTATTATATTCAAGCACACAGTATATAATAAAAACATTAAAACACTGTAGTTTAATATCTGTTATAATTATGAATGTTGAAGCGCCTGTAAACTCACACTAGCATGCTAGCTGACGTTAGCCTGACAAACACATCATATCGGATCATTCAACGTTAGAGTGTTTAATGAGAAAGCATCATATCTATGAATGTGTCATGATCTCATTATGAGGTTTTGCTCAGGACCACTGAAAGTTTTGACCCCGAAATCTCTCAAACTCACTGCAAAAACAACAACAACAACACACAAAAAAACACACACACACACACACACACACACACACACACACACACACACACACACACACTGACGGCTAAAGCCGCTCAAATGAACACAAACTTACTCCTGTCACACACAAAACACACACACCGCTTCAGCTCAACACACACACACACGCTCATATCCATTCCCACAGTCTAATTAACGGCTTTTTGTAGTATATAACTGTGTTATTACATGAATTATCGATCCGCTCCAAACTTTGACGAGCATGGTGGCTAACTACTGTAAACACCGATCTCCACACACTAAAACACACATGAAATCACTCGACACGCATAAAAACCCGATCATATGTGTCAGCAGAGCACGAGAGGAGTTAACTCACGGGGGTCGCGGGCTCAGCTGAGGGGTGTTGAGGGCGCAACTCAGAAAAACGGCGCAGAAAAAGACGATTACCGATCAGACATGTCCTCCATTAGAGTGCGGCGCGACTGCGCATGCGCACACACTGTTTACAAAGAGGGAAGAAGGCGTTCCCCTAATCAACTCAGTACACACGAACCTTATGGGGCCATGTAGATAATACGGAAAATTCTCTCCATATGATCGTTATAGGGCCATAGAATGTGGATTTTTAGATATATATAATCATATCTCCAATCGAGCTCATACAATCTACACACGCTCCACATGTCATATCAAACATATAAAGCCTTAGTATATAGACATTTAATAGATCATTTGTAAAATTAACAATGATATAGATGCAGAATCATACAGATTATAAAGCCTATGGATATTTGTATAAATCAATCAATAAATAATATGGATCATGGGGCCATATTTACATAGAACAAAAAAAGACATATAGAACAAATAAAATGGATTAATGTACAACACACTCCATTTAAGTCTTATGATGTCTCTTTATAGCACATAGAAAACCTTATAGATATTGATTATAGATAATGTAGATCATTTGTATATATTACTATGCATCCTAATGGGCCCCTTTCCATGCATCTCATATTAAAAATACTTAAATTGCATAGATAACATGATGCACCTACTGGCCTATAGTGTGTATAAATATTTTATACATCAAATTTTAACTTATATATATATATATATATATATATATATATATTTAACAAAGACTTAGCCTTAAAGTGACTTTGATATATAGTCACTCTGAACATACTTATGCTTCAAATATCATATAGAGCCATATGTATGAGTATACAGTATATGAATGTTAAATAGATTATTTGTATATAGATATATAATTGTAATCCATGTAAGCTAAATAGGTGTATAAATGATAAAGATTATATATCTGACTTTATAGATCTCATCTGACTCATTAAATCCACATACCTCCATTTAGATGTGATATATTGTACAAATATATAACTATAGACTTATTTGTATTTGTATATCCCATTCCATAGATCATCATAGAGCCATTTACTGGCAAGATGAATATGTAGATTATATGGATAATAGACATTATTTCTAAAACTCACTCTTCACATACAGTAGAGCCATACTGATGCAAATTTATAAATTCAATAGATCATGTTACGTGTGTAATAAAAAAATGCAGTAACACCTCTGTGCAATTTACTACATTTTGCATCTTCAATATCTAAAATAAATGTAAAATGTCTATGGTCTGTTTTTCATTTTAACCTTTGGACAAACTGTTGGTTTTCAGACCACCTGTTAAAAAATGTGCAACTAAATGATCTGTGTATCTCCAGAAATAAACAAAGACATTGATCATCATCTACAAACTGGTAATTAGGCTTAATTATTTGTTAATTGTTCATCTACAATGGGAAACAACATCTCTGACCTTAGACCAAAGGGACAATTTGTGCCTAATTAGTGAGATAATTAGCTTCCAATAGAATTAGTAAACTTTCCTGTCCGGTCGCTGAGATTTTGGAGGAGGACTAATGTCTCCAGGTGTTCCCGAACTAATGAATCATGTAGAGCAGGGAGAATCCAGTCCACATGTCTTCACATTAAACCGCAATGGCCGGTGGGCTGACTAGCCTTGGCTGCGGAGCTCTGGATTTCTGGCAAGGACACAAACACACTGGAGAGGGACCAGCCATCTGTTCCCGGGAAATGTGCTGAAGGAACCGGGATACAGCAGCGAAAGCCCCACAATAAACATGTACAAAACCCAATGAAGCATTTTATTAACACATATTTCTCTCCTTTTTATTAACAAATAGAAAACAGACCGCCTGTACAACAGATTGAATGCCGTTTTGTCTCTATGCCAACACAAAGTGAAATTAATTCTTCCCATATCCGCATTTTTCATCTTACTTTGTGCTCAGGCCATAGGAGGATAGAAACACTCGAGTATGCACATATTTTCAGTCTGATGATTCTGTCGCGACATTACGGGAGATTTGTCTTTAAGAGCCACAGTGAGAAATGATCGGATGGCCGTTAATAATACCACACGTGGAGAGTCCCAGCCTCAGCCGTGAAAGCCCCACAATAAACATGTACAAAACCCAATGAAGCATTTTATTAACACATATTTCTCTCCTTTTTATTAACAAATAGAAAACAGACCGCCTGTACAACAGATTGAATGCCGTTTTGTCTCTATGCCAACACAAAGTGAAATTAATTCTTCCCATATCCGCATTTTTCATCTTACTTTGTGCTCAGGCCATAGGAGGATAGAAACACTCGAGTATAGGAAAGAAACACTTGAGTATGCACATATTTTCAGTCTGATGATGCTGTCGCGACGTTACGGGAGATTTGTCTTTACGAGCCACAGTGAGAAATGATCGGATGGCCATTAATAATACCACACGTGGAGAGTCCCAGCCTCAGCCGTCTGTTTTCTGCCGCAGACTTTCCCCACTTCAGCTGCTGGTCTGAGCGATTGACGGATGGCCGTGGTTCTACTGGAGGTACGTGACGGCTGTACATGTGTGTGCAGGTTTGTCGGGTCAAGGCCTGGCCGTTCAGCACGAGCTGACCTTTGACCTCAGCTGACCCGGCATGGGATAATAACTTTGCTGTGGCAGCAGGAACACCATTTTTCTTGTCTTTCTTTCACTCGAGAATGGAGGGTTTCCAGAAAGTGTCTGTTTACTGCTATTCAGAGCAGAACGGCTCTGACTGTGTTCTCTCCTTTCATTGGTTTATTCAGTTGTCCTTAATGACGGCAGGTTCATTAAGCTCACTAACTCGGCTGTAAGCATTTCAACTCTTTTATACTTGATTATACTGTTTTATAAAGTATCAGGAGGTGAAAAGGTTGTTTTTAATTGTATATTTTATAAAAGATCCCCTTTCCCCACCAAATAAAAGTAGATCATTAAAATACAATAATGATGAAAAAAGTAAGAAATCATCAGCAGCTCTGAGTACACCTCTTAAAGTATTAGTAACCTGGGTCATGTGAAAATACATGTCCACATATGCTAAAAATAACTGAACATATACGAAAAAATTATAAAGGAATAATAATAATAATATAAGAAAAAAAAGAAGAATAAAAGAACCCCTTAGATATGCAACGATCAGCATAAATGATACAAATATTGTATTTTCTGACAGATATAGCAATCGTCATGATGATACAATAATAATAATGATGATAATAATAATAAAAACAATGGCAGATGATGATCGGTATGAAATGAAATGATCATAATCATAAAGCAGTAAGGTTATACAGAGACAGGAGCTGGGCATTAGAGACCAGAGGGAAGCGTTTGTTGCTGTTTTCAGAAGAGGAACAGGATTGCGCTGAAGTTCCAGTGATTTCTCCTCTCTTCTGATTTGCCGTTTCTCTCTGTCTGTTTGTCAGTCTCTCTCTCTCCCTCCAGCAATGGTGACTGAATAGGTAGGATGATTAAGGCTCAGAAACAAGCGGCGGCTCTCCGTTCTGAGGCATTCTGGGAGTGGTTACGTTGCATAGTGATCGAAGCTGCCTAGGTACTCCAGAGCTGCTCTATAGCACAGCTGGTACTGGTCCTGCACACATGGGACGCACACCGTTAAAACACAGACTAAAACATGTGTGTTGCCTAAAAATGAAAAGTCTGTCTGATTTGCAGTAAATGACAACAGGTGAACTATTCTATTTACTCAAGAGGAAGTGAGGGTGTCAGGTTTACCTCGGTCTGTACCATGGCAGGTCTCTGCGTGCGGAGCGTTTTTATGGTCTGGAACATGTCCACCACCCCTTCATACCTCATCCGCTCCAGAACAATACTTAAAGTGATGAAGACCCCTGTTCTGCCCACACCAGCACTGAGACAGAGAGAGACAGACAGCAGTTCAGCACACATACACAACAGCTAATATTTGGGGGGGTTTAAATTAAGTCTTCTGTTCACCAAAGCAGCATTTATTCATCAATCAAAAATATAGTAAAAATGTAATATTGTAAAATATTTTTACAAATTAAAATAGCTGTTTTCTATTTGAATATATAGTCAAATGTAATTTATTTCTGTGATCAAAGCTGTATTTTCAGCATCATTACTCCAGTCTTCAGTGTCACATGATCTTTCAGAAATCATTCTAATATGCTGATTTGCTGCTCAAGATACAATTCTTGTTATATTTCTTATGTTGAAAACAGTTGGGCTGATTTCTGTGGAAACCTTGATCAGTTTTATTATTATTATTATTATTATTTTTACATTTAATTGCATTCTTTGATCAATAGAAAGTTCAAAAGAACATCATGCATTTATAATAGAAATCGTTTGTAACAATATGTCTGTTTGTAATAATCTGTCTTTACTGTCATTTTTGATCAATTTAATGCATCCTTGCTGAATAAAAGTATTAATTTCTTTTGAAAAAAAAAAAAATCTTACTGACCCCAAACTTTTAAACTGTAATGTACAGATACAAAGTCAGCTCTACGATACAGTCAATACAATCTAAGATCGAGACATTTTAATTTCATATAGATTTACAACATTCTGAATATTCAATATATCAGCCAGTGCTACTACAAACACACACGTTTGTTCATTCTGCTTCTCACCTGCAGTGAACAGTAATTGGTCCGTCCTGTCCAAACTGCTCCTTGGTTTTGTGGACTTGGCCAATGAAATCAATAAAGCCCTCTCCTGTCTTTGGCACGCCTTGTTCTGGCCAATCGGTGAACTGAAACTGGCGGATCGTCCTAGACTGGCCATCCTGAGAGAGAATGAGAGTGTGATTTAAAGACACAGCACAGCTGAAGTCTTACGGTCTGATCGACTCACCCTGGCATCTGTGACTTTAAACTCCCGTAGGATGTACTGCGGCATGTTGTATTCAGCCATGGGGTCCACGACGAAGTACTGATAGCGTGCGGATCTCTCTGCAGGCCAGTACTGATGACACTTCTCCTGTGGAGCCAAACACACGATTATAAGAGCAGCTCAGTTAATTTGTCCAAACCCCAACTTTATTTATTTATTTATTTTTTTTGCCTTTTGTCTCTTTGGTGTAATGCACAGAATGACAGCCTGAGGCCAGCATACAACCAGCTGATTTGCAGCATCATTAACATTTCATTAGTCATTTGAGAGTTTTTTTTTTATTAATTGCACAAGAGTATTCAGACATTTTTCTCAGCAAACCAACATCCACATTGCATGTTTATTTTGTTATTATTATCTGCTACACTCAAATCAGTCCCTCCAGAATTTTGCGATCTCGCAATTGCAAACATTTGCAGCAGCTTACATTATTGCATATTTTTACAATTTGTCCTGAGAGAAGCAATGTTAATTAATCAAAATGCATAAATCTGAGCCCAAACAAACTGATCAATATGTGTTCAACTGCTGAACCACAACTGATTTCAGTAATTATGCACTAAATCATCAGTAACAGTACTCTTATGGTCACTAATACTAATTACTTAATGATTATAATGGTAGGTTTTTAATGCAAAACAAGGGAAAATATCCTGCAAATATCACCACAATTTTTGAAGAAAAGCTGCAGCAAATTCAGTGACTTGCAAAAATGAGAAAAAAGTCTTGTGAAATCCTGATGGGACTGTTGAACGATTCATAAAATAAGAAAGCAGATTCATGTAAATCTTTTGCTCATTAAAGCTGTACATTAACACATATTTTCCTCGACCTTGAATAGACTAACACACAAAACAGTTACTTCATGAGCTGCATTATAATTCAGTCTATTATTACAACTGTTTCTTTGTGCAGTTCTCCTCTTCATATTTCTATAAACGTCACGCTGCTAAAATGCAAAAGTGTTGCAATGTGTGACATGGAATGAAAGCTGAAAACAGCTGAATGTGTGTGACACTCCCTTAATAAACTGAGTTGTTCTGAGCTGCGCTGCCTTAAAGCATTTTATTTTAACACTATTATAAATGTTGTTAATATTTTGAACATTTATATGGAATTTTGTCTATTTAGTTTTTATTAAGTTTTAGTTTTGAACTATTTCAGTTAGAATTTAGAAACTAAATTAAAATTAGAAATGTTACCTTGGCAGCTAGCTGAATTAAAATAAGTTTTTCCATTTCATTTTATTTCAAGTAATGAAAATGTTTTTTTTTTATGGTTTTAGTTTTAGTTAACAAACATAACCCTGCCTTAAAGTCGACAGGACATCAAAAATGAGCAACGTTTCACAATCCAATCAATTCCCAATGGATGCAATCAAGAGCCACCCTACATTTAGCCTTTTTGAATATCTTCTTTCACTCACATTACAGAAGTAAAATGGGTTGCAAAGGGCCATTCACATTGACTTTGTTCACTTTGATGTGTGCAGGAATGTGAGAATCTGTCACAATGACAATGGCGTGGACTCACCCGTCCCATCTCTCTGAGCTTTGTCAGCATCACCACGATGGTGGAGTTGTGCTCCCAAAGCATCCTCCAGAAGTCCTCCGTGGTTTCAGAGAGAGGACCTTGTGTGGCGACATACGCCTTCTGCTGCCTGCAGGAACAACACATGAAAATACAGTTTAAAAACACAAGAATCAACACAGATTACTAATGAACAGCTCTCTCCAGGAGTGCTTCATCTAATTGAACAGCAGGAGGCACTGCAGCTCCATCACTGCGATCATAAATGCATTAAGACAGACGAGATAAATATGCAGTGAGAGAAAGAGAGAAAGAGAGAGAGAGAGAGAGAGAGAGAGAGAGAGAGGGGAAACACTGGACAGAGAACGAGGGCGAGACTGTGAGACAGGTGAGAAAAACACTGGTTGTGGAAGATGAAACCGAGAGACATGATTGTGTAGTGAAGGCAGCAGAACTCTAGATCACTGTTTGGCAGCGTGGGGACGCGAGCACTGTCCCTTATGCTGAAGTCCTGCTGTGAGATCCCACACACACACACACACACACACACACACACACACACACTGAAAGCTCATCAAGCTAAAAGCATGTGAAAGCCCTTCTCCCTCTGTCCTTCATTACAAACACGATTACTGCCAATTACACTGTTTACAATTCAGTACGCCGGCAGATGCAGTGGGAGCTCTTTAATTGGCCGTTAATTTGATTAAGGGCCAACAATGAGCTCAGATTCTTGACACAGCTCCACCCCTCCACCTCACATGACCCCTCAGCAGCAGCAAAGGAAGTGCTTGATTCAGGATGTTAGTAAAGGACTATTCATTTGAAGCACTGATATTTGCAGTAAACGTTCCTTGTGGCAGAAAGTTGCACTGAATCAATGGATCTCAAAGACCATAGTCACAGCAGATGGGATAGAGGCTGTCTTAGGTAATGCAGTTTTAATATCCATTTTCCACAGTTTTTCATTCATACGAAACTCTTCAATAAAGTATTTTCAATGCACAATCCATCAAACAGACTGTAAAAAGATAAGCATGTGTTTAGCATGTATACTATTATTTCACGCTCTAAAGTACTCGATTCTGATTAGTCATGCTTATATAATGAGTGTTACACTACAGGGCCGTTGAATGCTTGAATCTGATTGGCTGACGAACATTCTAAGGCGTGCAATTATTTTCAGGGAATAAGGAAAAAGTCATACGGGTTTTATGATGACAGAACCAGGCATGTGGTCAGCTAAGCACCAAAAATGAAGGAAAACCTTTTTGACTACAGTAATAAAAAAAAGAATAATAAATAAATAATAATAATAAATAAATATTTTTAGAATATTATTTAAATTTTAAAAATTAAATCAATGAAGAAATATTACTATTGCAGCGATAATACTGAATTGTAAAATAAAAAACACATATTTACTACTACTACTAATTATTATTATTGTCATTATTATGGCTACTAAAATAGTATTTTTTATTTTATTATTATTTAAATTATAAAAATACATCAATAAAGAAATATTAGTATCACAATGATAATAGTGTACTGTAAAATAAAAAACAAGTATTTATAATTCATAATAATAATAACTGTATTTTACAGAACAACAGTAAAATTACAATACCAATATTTATTCATAACAAATGCACTTCTCATTATAAATAGTTCGTGTGTGATCCATTTTTAAATTCACATTATAAGTGTTCCAAACTCACAGCGCTGGCAGAGATTTCGAGTGGAGCAGTATTTACTGTTAACCGAGACACTGAAGACATTGAATCATGAGCTGCTCGCGTGTAAATGAACACAGTGCCGCGCTTTACTCTGAAACACACAGCTTGTCGGACTATATATTTATATAATTAATTCATAGCCTTTACAATTCATATTTCAGGTCGAAAAATTGGAAATCTGTATCAAATTGGAAAAATATCAATGGAAAAATATCAATTACCCCTTAACTCTGTGTCTCAGTGGTATGCTTGACACAAACCCATTGCAGTCTGAATGTCTATCTGTATATGTGTGTGTGTGTGTGTGTGTGTGATAGATTGAGAGCTTCATGGAGACCAGACTCCTCGTGACGGGTAATCCTTTTATTTGTGCTCTGAACTGTGTGCATCACCTGTCAGCTCGTGGGCGCAGGGCCGCGCCAATTCCCCAGTGCTGATAGCGCTCCAGTTATGGACAGTCCTGCCAATAAGAACAATTTGTCCTTACAACTAACAGCACTAAGGCAGTAGACACGCAGGCGCAGACTTCCGAGACGGGCCATGACTCTGAGCTGTCACATCCAGCAGGAGTCAGAGAGACGGGGGACAGTGACGGAGAGACTCGCTGGCGTTCGTGGTAGCAGCACCTCTTCAGAAGAACACCCATCTTTCATCTGATTTCTCCAGAGTCTGATTCACAGTTGGTCTCAATTGGCTCTCAGATCTCTGTTTATGACTTCAGGCAAAATTCTGAATTTAAGATCTGGCTCTCTTTCAATTCATGAGTTTGAGTTTGAATTAAGTTATCCGCACCACAGGATGTTGAATTGAAATGACAGGAAGTGGAATTTACTGAATTGCAATCGCAAACCCTGATTCACATACCTGTATCCATCGATGAAGCTGGCGTTAATGTAGTCGGACCCCTCCACCCCTCTGATTGGCTGCAGACACACACGGCTGGACTCGAAGGGCATGATGTTGACCAGTCGGTTCTTGAATTTGTTGCAAGGCAGACTAGCGCTGATGAATCTAGAGGTGTGTGCTTTGGAGTTGGCCAGTTTCTGCAGTGAGAAAAGACACAGAACACATGCATATTGCTCAGAAATTGTGAAATAGACTCATACACACTACCAATCAAAGGTTTGAAAAAAGAAAGGATGCATTAAATTGGTCAAAAGTGACAGTAAAGACATTTATAATCATATAAATCATTTGTGTTTCAAATAAGTGCTGTTCTTTTGCACTTTCTATTCATCAAAAGTATTATGGTTTCCACAAAAATATGAACAACTGCACAACAGTTAAGATAATAATAAGAATTGAGCAGCAAATCAGCATATTAGAATGATTTCTGAAGGATCATGTGACACTGAAGACTAGAGTAATGATGCAGAAAATTCAGCTTTGATCACAGAAATAAATTACATCTTAAAATATATTACAATAGAAAACATTTATTTTAAATTGTAATAATGTTTCAGAATATTACAGATTTTCCTGTATGTTTGATCAAATAAATACAGCCTTGGTAAGCAAAAGAAGCTTCTGGCTGAGGACAATTAATGAGATGACATTTTAGTCTTTCAGACATTAGCATAATGTCATTTTCTATTTATTTTTGTGAGTTTTGAATAAATATTCCAAAAAATATGTTTCTTTTAAATGTCAGCTTTTTGTGTACATCTTATTTGGCATCATTATACTGTATAATAATCCATTCTATATGTTACATTCAGCATTGGTCATTAATTAGTGAAATATAAGGAACACTCTGAGTTCAAAAGTTAAGCTCAAGTTCAGTATTCATGTCAGAATGTTGATTACCACACTGAAACTCAAAAGCGTTTTTTTCCATTGTCAACAATTGAGATCCTTCTTTGGTGGAGAACGAGGTGTTTTGAGTGGCTTTGTTCTCAAACTTCAAACGATACTTGCTCTTTGAATCTCAGCATGTCACCAAAATGCGTCATGGGAAAAACAGCCCATTAAAATCATTCATGTTGTGCAGGGAAACACAAACGTGTTTCCACACACAGCTCTGACTGCACTGGCCCTTCAGAATCACATGATTCGCTGGTGAAACAACATCAAGCATTAAAACCTGATTACATCCTCGGCGGATCTATAATGATCCTGTGCGTAAAGCAACTCTGAGCCTCATCCTTCGGGCTGGGAAGCGTCTCTGAGGACAGCTGTTGTATGTTAAAGGAGTGTTTTCATGCATGCAGCAGCTATAACTCTCACCGCAGTCACAGATACTGCCTGTCAGCTTCTCCATCAGCTCTCAGCTTACTGTTTAAGCAGTTAAAATATGCACCTTTGCTTTGGTAAGAATGTTTCTGCCAAAAACATTTCAATGTGCATGTCTTTTCTCTGTCTACAGTTTTTCTTGTTGCTCTTCCAGTGTAATATTACTTAAGAAATGAACTCAAGGTTAACCATTATAGATGAGAATCATAAGGAATATACCAATTCAGGTTCAGATTCTACATAATTATTCCAGTTCTGTTAACAAAATCAGGAATGTTTTTGAATAAACACTTGTCCTTCATTCCAAATCAGTGTTGTTTTAGCATTATTTATTGACTATTATAGTGTTAGTGTTTATTAATATTCGAATTAGCTTTTTAGGGTAATACTTTACAATAATATTTCATTTGTTTACATTAGTCAACTATATTAGTTAACAAGAACAATACTTATATAGCATTTATTAACCTTAGTTAATGTTAAATTCAACATTTACTAATATATTATTAAAATCAAAAGTTGTACATGTTAACATGAACACTTTTTAAACTAACACTAACAAAGGTTAATAAATGCTGTAAAAATATATATTGTTCATAGTTCGTTCATGTTAACAAATGTAAGTGTAAGACATTATTGTAAGTGTTACCTTTTATTTTTATATTTTCAATTTTAGTTTAATTTTTAGTAATTCTGTTATGTGCATTTATTTATTTTTCAGTTTTAGTTTCGGTTCAGTTTTAGTTTTTATTTAATTTCCAGTTAATTATCATCATTATTACATGATTACTTAACTTGAAGCATTCATTATATTTCATTAATTAATGTCCAATGCTGATTCTAATATCTAGTCATTTTAGTGCTTTAGCTTAAACGTATTTCAGTTATAATAATTAACATTTATGAAACATTTACAATTTAAAGTTATCATGTAATATTTATATTTTTGTTTATTCCAGCTGTATTTCAATTAACAAAACAGTTATAGCTAACGATAATAACCCTGTTTCCAACTCCAACAAACAAGCAAGATAAACCGCTAAGCAATAAACGGCATCTTCTGCATGTTAATCAGAGGTTTAAACAAGCAACAAGGCATTGCATCGTCAGCTGTGTACTAAACATCAAAGAGGTTCTGATTGGCTGTGATTCTGTGCCTTCACGCTGTGTTTTGAGGAGAGAAAAACTGACACAGGAACTCTGTTGTGTCGTGCCAGGTTAAGGTTGATGTGTGTGTCTGTGTGTGTTTTCTGACCTTAAACTCCAGTTCCATGGCAGTGACGGTGTCTCCGGGCGACACCTGCGTGAGTTTCTGGATGTGTGTGTACAGGCTCCGCGCCGGGACCTCTGTGTTCCCGCAGGTGGCAGCCTCCAGCAGGGCCTCGTGGATGAAGATATACTGATCTTCTGTCTGCACCATGTAGTTCCTCTGAGAGCGCATGCAGGTCACGTGACCATAGATATCCACCGACTTCTCGTGCTTCATCCGCTCCAGCATGGCCTCGATTACGATAAAACAGCCTGTCCGACCCACGCCAGCGCTGCCATGGGAAACACAAGGGAAGTGGTAGATTTAGAGTGAATTCACAGACACATGTTCATGTTAATAGATAAGTGAGTGGATATCATGCTCTACCTGCAGTGCACCACCATGGGTCCGGCGTCAGGTGGGTTGCAGGCCTTGACCCTGCGTAGAAAGGCTAAAATTGGTGTGGGGTATTCGGGAACGCCATGATCCGGCCAGGCCATGAACTGGAACTGCCGAACTTCCCGTTTCTCACTGGACCCATTCTGTTACAACACATTCAAGGAGATATATGATGGAAAAGGGATTTTTCTTGCTGTTTTTAAAAAGAGAATATGTTTATAATAACTACAATTATTTACAATATATTATAACTGATTATAATATAGAATTATACTATTAATCTCCCTCCACAATCTAACCACGAACTAAACTGCAAAAACAAGCCAATCAGAAATCATTAAGGTTGTGACATCACAACTATGGGCTCGTTAACTTATGACCGTTTACACATCAGGACCTATTTAGTATTTATCTGGCCTGTTGTGATGAACTATGATCGTACATGGAGGTTAACCAATCAAAACACAGGTCTTAAAGATACAGAAAACCAAAACTGGTGCAAAACTGGTCATAAAAAAATAAATTAAAACTGATTTTTAGTCCAGGAAACCTTGACTGACATTGTAAGTGAACTTATATGGGAAAAATGCTACAACAGTGTATAATATGACCCATGTAAACATTTACAGCATTGTACTAAAAACGAATAAACCCTATTTCATTCTGTTTCATTCTATGTTGAATGTTAAATATAATAAGTTAAATGTAATGTAAAGTAATTATTTAATCTACTATAAAAGCCTATACAATTTTGTTATAATATTCTTTTAAAATTAAAAAAATATAAAAAAAAATGATGCTAACTAGTATCCTAGCAGACTGTAAGTTACTAAGAGGCAGTTTTGTCTCCTACTATTAATTAAATTTAGATGTTTTTGAGGAACTTTTTCCATCTTGATTTTTTCAGTTCTGCTGTACGACGCCTCAACGTCATTTTCAGCATTAATGAGCAGAGAAGTTAAAGTTTTAGTCATTTGTGTGAATGCTGTATCTAAACATAATCAAAATGAACATCTTAAACTTCTTTTCTAGTTTTTGTTCTGTATACGATTGTCATTACATACATTTTCTAAACAAATAATTTGTCACTGCAGGTAAAATCAAAAAGTGATGAAAAAAACTAAATAAATGTCAGTTACATCATCTATAAACACACACAGACCTTATAGAGAGCGAAGGTCCTGACGCTGTAGGTGGCTAACTCCACCGTATCCAGCATGGACACCTGAATCATGCCGTATGTCTCTGTTCCACGGCTCGGCCAGTACTGATCACACTTCACCTGCAATCACAGGCACACACAAACATCACACATCAGGGACCACAAGAGCACAGGAGAAGAGTGAGAGGAGGCCAGCTGAAGCTGAAGCAGATGGGGGCATTACGCACCACAGACCGGCCAGAACTGTGGCTGAACCTCCGGCTCTGATAACACACACGGGTCACATACTGCGAACACACACCGAGCACAGAGGGCTGTGTGAGTAACGCCGGTAGGTCTGGGGTTGAGATGCATTAGCGTGACCCATCTGGGCTTCCATAAACCCTGCTGTCCTTCATCAACAAAGAACAGGTACAATCTGTGCACTTATTCAAGCTAATTAATAAATACGGCTGACTAGCTCAAACCCTTAAAAAACTTTGCATCTTTAACATTAATAAAGTCACATTTTTTTTTGGCAAAAATGTAATTTGTAAAAGGCATTTCCTATTGTGGAATGAATATGTTTCTTTTTTATTTTTACGATGCACAATATATTTGTGACAATAGAGAGCAACAGGAGGTTTTTGAATCTATAAATGAATTTTCTCCACAGAGTTTGATTAGTTTGACTTTAAAGCCGATAATATCAAGGTTTGTCCAATTCGATCAGTATATTCTTTTTTAGGCAATGTTTTAATGTATTAAAACAGTTAAAGTAAATGTTAGTAAGTAAACTCTCTCTCTCTCTCTCTCTCTCTATATATATATATACATATAGATAGATAGATAGATAGATAGATAGATAGATAGGTATCGGCATTACTGACGAGATGCACATGACAATCGCATGCGATTAATTGCACACAGTTAAAGTAAATGTTAGTAAGTAAACTCTCTCTCTCTCTCTCTCTCTCTATATATATATATACATATAGATAGATAGATAGATAGGTATCGGCATTACTGACGAGATGCACGTGACAATCGCATGCGATTAATTGCACAGTCCTAGTATATAGTATAGTATAGATCTATATACAGCAAATTATAATATAATTGTGAATCGTGAGGTACATAATTCCATTAGAAAGCTAGCATTGAATCACAGTCATGTATATTGAGACTGACCATGTGGAGGATAAACAGAATGACCATCTGGTCACACGGCAGGTGAGGGAACATGTGACACCTCCCTCTCTCACAAACACACATGCACACACATCACTTCCTGTTCGACACTCCTATGAGGAGTGGTCACTTCCTTTCCTCTGTAATTCACAGACAGGACACGTGTTTGCATGTGTCCACGAGGTGTTTGGGATATTATCTGACATCCTAAAGGCAAAAGAAACCCCAAAATTAAAACGGTAATTTTTTCAGCCTCATGTCATTCCAAACCTGTATGACTCTTATTCTTCTGTTTTTAATTATTTGTACAGGTTTGGAATGACATTAGGGTGAATAAATGATGACAATTTTAATTTTTGGCTAAACAACCCCCTAAAAAAACATTATAATAGCTGCTGTTTGAAGTAATGGTTGAAGTGCAATGTGTAGGGAGAGTCTTTATTGTGATTAATAGTCTTTATAAGTTCCTATTTTGAAACGATTCCTCTAGAATGTTTATTTAATTCCATATAAAGAGTGAGAGATCATTTCCATGCCATCTGCATCTCTTGTCATCACTAAAAACATTTCTCTCACTCTGGGGCAGGAGCCAGACAACACGAGATGAGGAGTAAAATCTCACCCTGCTCTTCTCCTCCAGTCTGGTCATCATGATGATAGTACTGGCCCTTTGCTCCCACACCATCCTCCAGAAGTCACTGAACGTCTCGGGCAGAGGACCCTGAGTGGCCATGTAAGCGTTCTGCTTGCGGTAGCCGTCAATGTAGTTTCCATTGATGTAGTCGCTCCCCGGTATACCTGCGGTTCAGCAGTGCAGTGTTAACACACAATGAAAGGCTGAGAACTGAGTGCTCATTGTACTGATGGCCTTGGTAAGCACACGTGAAATCTGCAGACTTTTATTATTTATTTTCTAGTTATATTTAAAAATATATTAAAATAGCATTGAGAGTACTTTTAAATTACCCAAAATATTTAATAAACAGGTATGATTTGGACTTGATGGCCTTTCACAGAATTCAGTAGATGCAGATTCTGTGCAGAACTCATCGTAGCTGAATGACTCTTTATTTTGAGATGTCAAGCAACAAACACTACTGTTCAAAAGTTTGGGGTCAGTAAGATGTTTTTTTTATTATTATTATTAATACTTTTATGCATTATGTTGATGAAAAGTGACAGCAAAGACATTTATAATGTTACAAAATATTTCTGTTTCATATAAATGCTGCTCATTTGAACTTTGTTAAAACATTCTTAAAAATGTATCACATTTGTATCACAAAAATATGAAGGAGCACAACTGTTTTTAACATTGATGATAAATGTTTCTTGAGCAGCAAATCAGCATATTAGAATGATTTCTGAAGCATCATGAGACACTGAAGACTGGAGTAATGATGCTGAAAATTCAGCTTTGCATCACAGAAATAAATAATATTTTATCACCTATTCACATAGAAAAACGTTATTTTGAATTGCAATAATATTTCACAATATTACTGTTTTTACTGTATTTTTTATCAAATAAATGCAGCCTGGATGAGCAGAAGAGAGTCAAAAAAGCGTTTGAAAAAAACTTGCTGACCTCAAACTTTTGAACGCTAATATATATAGATGTGTTTTTGGACTCACCATCAGTGGGGATCAGCACGACTCTGGAGTGATCGTAAGCGATGACGTTTGCATAGCGGTTCTTGGGCTTGTTGACCTCTAGGTTGGAGTTTTCCCAGGTGAACTGCTGGCCAGGGTCAATAGACTGCAGAACAGAAAGACAAAACATGAGAACGTTTGTTAGAAAGCTAAACCAATACCAGTGACAGAAAAAAGGAAGACAATAGACGCATTTAAACTTTGAAATGATTAGTGTAAATACTAAATATCACATGAGAAAATGGTAATAATTCCCCTTTTACAGCAAACCCTTCAAATCTTCTGCAAAAATAATGACTGTTTTCCAACATGTTTCCTAAATACTTTCTCATCTGCCCATTATTTAGTCCCGCCCCCAATCTTATGCCATTGGTTGAGCCAAACGACACTCATGAAAACCTATTTTACTTTAACATAATTTATTTCAGAGTGAAACAGGATATTTAATGAGAAAAGATAAAGGGAAATAGCATAATTTAACGAGGGAATGGACTATAACTTCATATGTGACCCTGGACCACAAAACCAGTCTTAAGTCGCTTGGGCATATTTGTAGCAATATCCCAAAAATCACTGTATGGGTCAAAATGATCAATTTTTCTTTTATGCCAAAAATCATTAGGATATTAAGTAAAGATCATGTTCCATGAATATATTTTGTACATTTCTTACCGTAAATATATCAAAACTTAATTTTTGATTAGTAATATGCATTGCTAAGAACTTCATTTGGACAACTTTAAAGGCGATTTTCTCAGTATTTTGATTTTTTTGCACCCTCAGATTCCAGATTTTCAAATAGTTGTATCTCGGCCAAATATTGTCCTATCCTAACATCCCATAGCTTATTTATTCAGCTTTCAGATGATGTATAAATCTCAATTTAAAAAAATTGACCTTTATGACTGGTTTTGTGGTCCAGGGTCACATATGACTCATTACTCCAGTCTTCAGTGTCACATGATCTTCAGAAATAATTCGAATATGCTGATTTGCTGCTCAAGATACAATTCTGATTATTATCAATGTTGAAAACTACCTCATATTTTTTTGAATTTTTTTTTCAGGATTCTTTGATGACGGTAACACTTTATTTTAGGGTCTCTTAACTAAACTTAATTTTTGATTAGTAATATGCATTGCTAAGAACTTCATTTGGACAACTTTAAAGGCGATTTTCTCAGTATTTTGATTTTTTTGCACCCTCAGATTCCAGATTTTCAAATAGTTGTATCTCGGCCAAATATTGTCCTATCCTAACATCCCATAGCTTATTTATTCAGCTTTCAGATGATGTATAAATCTCAATTTAAAAAAATTGACCTTTATGACTGGTTTTGTGGTCCAGGGTCACATATGACAAGTGACTAGAGGGAAGGGGTTTAAAAATAAGACATCATCAGCTAAAAACGAAAGTCATTTCAGAGGTGGAGCAAGTTTAATTTCATTTTGATGAAAGTTTACAAAGCCGTGGAATAATGTGCTCCAATGAATCATTCATAATAAGACAACTCTGGCACAGCAGGAACTGATGCTGCAAAACCTCGCAGACGCACCACAACTCTGCAAATCTCTACCTTGACCTGCCCAGCGTTTCCTGCACGATCACGGCAGCTGGAATCGCTCCGGCGCTTTAGAGACCTGCCTAATCCAGCCCTGCTGTTACCATAGTGATGAGAAAACAGGCCAGAGGGTGCGGTTTAGACGTCTGCTCTTTAGTCTCCTTGCATCACATTACTGCAGCTCTGAGACGCTGCGTTTCTAGCAGAACCGCCAGCAGTTCTTCAGTTATAATGAACAAATCATATCAACTATATGAAACATAAAATACCATTCAAGAGTTTGGGGTTGATAAGATTTTTTGGGGTCGATATGAATCTTATGCTTGCCAAGACTTCATTTATTTGAAACAGTAATATTGTAAAATATTATTACCATTCAAAATAATTGTTTCTTTATATATATATATATATATATATATATATATATTGTAAAATGTAATTTATTCCCTTTACATGCTACTATAGAATACTATAGAACAGTTTCAGAGCTACTTTTCTGACAACAGCATCATAAATATACCTAAACTAAACAACTACCTTACTAACTATTAATAAGCAGCAAATTAGGAATTTGAGGGAAATTAGGGAGTTAATAGTGAATAAGTGTTCCCTATTCTAAAGTGTTACCGAAAGTTAAAAAGAATTGATTTGAAACAGAAATCTTTTTTATAAAATTATAAGTGCTTTTATTGTCACTTTTGATCAATTTAATGCATCCTTGCTGAATTTGATAAATGAAGTTAACCAACTAACATTATACATACTCTTTTGGTTTCTATACCCAATATTTAAAAAATGTACAAATGCAATAAAAATATCGGTATCGGTACTCGGTATTGGCAAGTACCAAAAATAAAAGTATCGGTATCGGGCGAGTACTGGAAAAAGTGGTATCGGTGCATCCTTAACAACAAGCAATATGGAAGTTTGAAGGCTAAAATGCTGCACAATGCAACACAATCACAGCTAATCAGAAGAGTGTGCGACGAGTTCTGTCAGTTTGTTTGCACTAGATAAAACACACAACTTCTATTTCCTGGACTTGCATGACATCTCTCCAGATGGCACTGATGGATTTTTCATATTATATTAATGTTTCTCTGCATCCACAATGTTTCTTTCTCATCCATATGTGATAGTTAATATACATGAGGAGCGGTACTTCAGACCAATGGGTTTTTGGTGTGAATATAACATAACTCAGACCTATAGCAACATGAAACAGCAACATCTGAGCAATACAATCTTCATTTTAATAGCATTTAATAGTGTCTCTCTGTCACACAATATAGTGAAGTCTTCTCTCTCGTCTCTATCTACTGTGTGGGTCATGTCATACAGCAGTGTTGAGAAGGAACGCATGTCTTATTCAATGGTCTCCTGTTTCTCACACTGAAACATCACAGGTTTTAATGCAGGCGTATGTATGATCTGAGGATGTGTTATCCTTGTGTGCTGTTAGCTCTGCCCTGATCTGTGGTTGCTCTCCATTATAAAACAAGGATAAAAATAGCAGAGTATTATTACAAAAATGTCTCTGAAATGAAATACACTTACAAAGTTAATATTTCTAAGCTTCAATGAGCTCGACTGAAGGTCTGTTGGACATTTTTCTTCATCTGGTAGCTCTCTCTGTTCTCTGTGTACACTACCATTCAATTTTGTTTTACGTTTTTGAAAGAAGTCTCTTCTGCTCATCCAAGCTGCATTTATTCGTTTAAAAAGACAGTAAAAACACTAAAATTGTGAAATATTATTATTACAATGTAAAATAAATGTTTTCTATGTGAATATATTGTAAACTGTAATTTATTCCTGTGATCAAAGCTGAATTTTCAGCATCATTACTCTAGTCTTCAGTGTCACATGATCTTCAGAAATCATTCTAATATGCTGATTTGCTGCCCAAGAAACATTTCTGATTATTATCAATGTTAAAAACAGTTGTGCTGCTTCATATTTTTGTGGACACCATGATACATTTTTTTTTCAGTATCTTAGAATCTTTTTTAACATGATAAATGTCCTTATTGTAATTTAATGTGTCCTTGCTGAATAAAGTTATTCATTTCTTTTTTAAAAAATCTTCTGAATGGTGTATATCAAATAAAATGCATGCATGAGGACATTCCCACAGATGACAGGCTCATCTTATTATTTACCAACAGGTATATTACTTTCTCTCCATCTTTGTACACAATTCCCTCCCCATAAGCCTGTCTTTATCTGCTTATCTTGTTAGCTTCTTTTGTATTGCAGTTTAATGTGAGCCATTTGGCGTTTGATTAGATCACTGTTGCTCTCTCAGTATTTGATGTCTATATTAAGGTCTTGATTGTTTAAGTACTCAGAAGTGCTGCTCAATGTACAATAACAACTCAAGCAGGCAGCAGAGTCCCGCCCCTTCCCTAAACACACACACAGATAGACACACACACACACACACACACACACACACGCGCGCTCGCGCGCACACACGCACGCACGCACGCACGCACGCACGCACACACACACACACACACACACACTGCAGGATTAGCCATCTAATAAAGCAGGTGACTCTCACACTCACTACACTTCAAATGGAGTCATTTCCCAGCTTTAATTTCAAGCTCTGGTGATCTGGGTACTGCCTGAGATGCTGATGTGAGTGAGTGAGTGAGTGTGTGTGTGTGTGTATGAGGACTGTCTGTAAATGCATGTGTAAGTTGTAGTATTATGAAGCTGCACAAGTTCTTAGTGTCATTTCAGCACACTTGCTGAACATGAGATGTTGAAGGGCTCACATTTATAAACAGTAATCTTTTTGAGATTGTAAGGTGAACACTTTTAGCTGTTTGTCTGTCACGAGTACAGGCCATTCGCTGTCTGATCCATTCTGCATGAAAACATGTCAAGGTCTGGCTCAAAATTAGCACTTTCTATATGTTTGGCTGGCTTTATGCAACTTCTGGGAGTTGGGGTACATCTGTCCATCAAAAGTCATATTTTAATGCAATGACAAAAAACTAATCACTGGATATTTTCAGTTTATTGTCAATTTCTTCAGTGTCTTCTATACAGATCAAGTTGGTCTATTATTGTGGTTTCAGCTATTTTGAATAGATCTGCCCCTAACTAGCATGTAAAACATAAAAAGTGTGGTTGGTAGCTTTACATGCAGTTCAGAGGTGAGATTTTCTAAAGTGAACCCAAACTAGCAATGGAAGAACTCAATTCACTTTCACTTCTCAGACCAAATTGGTCTCTTCTGCTCACCAAGGCCGCATCTATTTGATCAGAAATACAGTAAAAACAGTAATATTGTGAAATATTATGACTATTCATAATAACAGTTTTCTCTTTTAATATATTTTAAAATGTAATGTAAAGCTGAATTTTCAGCATATTTACTCCAGTAAATCATTCTAATATGCTGATTTGCTGCTCGAGAAACATTTGTCATTATTATCAATGTTGAAAACAGTTGTGCTGCCGAATATTTTTGTGGAAATCGTGATACATTTTTTCAGGATTCTTTGATGAATAAAAAGTTCAAAAGAACAGTATTTATTTAAAATAGTAATCTTTGTAACATTAAAAAATGTCTTTACTGTCGCTTTTGAACAATTGAATGCATTCTTGCAGAATAAAAGTATTAATTTATTACTGACACTTTTGAAATGAATAGTTAGTGATATGATTAGCACAATTAAACTAAGAATGTGCTTAGGCTTCACCATAACGGCAGTTTGGAGCTCTATTTATAACTGATCTGCTTTAAATGTACAGCCATAATAAATCCACTGTTTCCTCACTGTTAGAGGAAACTTCTTCACTCTTATCTTCATTGTTCTGTTCTACAATTTACATATTCCACACATGCAGATGTAGGTCGGAAGAAGCACAAGTGTTTTCCAGCTTTCTCCTCCCCTTATTGTCCTGATTTAACTTAGTAGACATTTTTATGTAAATTGCTGATGTTTGCAGGACGTCAAGCAATTATCCCTCGGTGGTTTCAACAGAAGGTAGAGAGGGAGAACAATTCTCCTCAAAGTTGTTTAGACGGACACTCTTGACGTGACTTGGGAAGAGTTACCTCATATTCCTGTGAGAAGTGTAGGCCGTCGTTGGCTTTCAGCCGCTCAATGTGGTCAGCCAAAGCACAGACAGAAATTGGAGGGTGTTCCCGCATTCCTGCAGGGAGAAAGAGAGGATGAACTGATAGCAGAGATTTGTATTGGCCTGTTTGGTTTTGGTTGGCTGAACTGTGAGGAACAGACACACTTTGATCCACACAGTTTTTAGGCTTTTGGAAGATGGGCACACATGAAAACAACCCAAAGCATGAGAAAAATAGAAGGCAAAGGAGAAAGCACTATGCTTTTTGCACCATGCTATGTGCTAAGACCAGTGGCAGTGATGTAAGCAGTGAACGGACATGCTCATTGGCTGAAATATGAACCACTTCTGGGTCAATAGCAAGGTGGCGTAAGCTGTCCTGTACAATCAAAATGGCAAGTAAATGACACCGGCATTTTACACAGAAGGACTACAACCTGAGCACACATTAAAAAACACAGATTGTTTTCCCTCCCATCCCACATCTGCTCAACTGAGGTGTTTGAGAAGGACATCCTGTGGAAAGGACGTGAGAGATGGTGAAGCTTTAACTCAGAGCAGCCAAAGTGGTGGAGGGGGCGTGGCTTTGGTCTTGATGGACAGGGAGGAGGAGCATAGAGATGAAGGTAGTGAAAGTTCACACAGGAAAGCAAGAGTGAAACTAACTTGAAGTGCTGGGGCAGCTGAAGGCACTGGAACCTGCAGAAAAAAGATGAGGAGGGACTGTGATATATGTCACTTACAGAAGAGAGAGGAAGAGGAAAGAGTATGTACAGAAAGAGCAAGAGAAACACCCATGAGAGGAAGAAGGCAACATGAAACTGTTTCCCCAACATATTTAACTTCCGTAATATGACATAATTTTGATTGAAACAAAATAGACTGTGCAGGTTCTAACTCAATCTGATATAATCACATCATTATTCACCAATGGGCCAATGAGCTTGCTGCTCAACATTCAAATACTTGGCTAGTGCTTGCTGTAGCAGTTGCAGCACGCCTCCACCTTCCCCAGCTCCACCTGTATAATTTCATGTATGTTATATATGGGGGTTATTTCATATATGTTATATGTGCAGCAGCAGTATTTCCTACATGCTCACAGCAGCATGTCTGTGGATGTACTGGCAGTAGCAAGCCTCTGTACTTGCTCTGCAGCAGCAGCAGCGTAGCAGATCTTTCCCGCCAAGACCAAACACATTAACATTGACATGTATATTACCATGCTAAACTCTCAGAGAGTTGTCATGACAGAAATAATGTAGGGTGGGGCGTTTTGATTAGATTAAGAAGAGATTAGACCGTCTTTCGGATGAGACATTAAACCGAGGTCCTGACTCTCTGTGGTCATTAAAAATCCCATGGCACTTCTCGTAAAGAGTAGGGGTGTAACCCCGGTGTCCTGGCCAAATTGCCCCCCTGGCCCTTGCCAATCATGGCCTCCTAATAATCCCCATCCACTTGATTGGCTCTATGACTTTCTCTCCTCTCCACCTGTAGCTGGTGTGTGGTGAGCGCACTGGCGCTGCTGTCCTGTGGCTGCCGTCGCATCATCCAAGTGGATGCTGCACACTGGTGGTGGTTGAGGAGAGACCCCCCCACATGATTGTAAAGCGCTTTGGGTGTACAACAATACACAGTAAAGCGCTATATAAACGCATCATTCATTCATTCATTCATAAGAAGCTGGCTGAGAAATTACTGGTTAATATTATTTTTTCCCCATCACATTAAACTTGGTTGCATTAGTTTCAGCAACCAAGTAGTTTCAGAAGTTCCCATATAAATCCATACATATATACATATATTTTTAAAAATACACTACAGTTCATGAATTTGGGATTTTTAATGATTTTGAAAGAAATTACTCACCTAGGCTGCATTTATTTGATCAAAAGTCCAGTAAAAAATAGTAATACTGTAAAATATTTTTACAATTCAAAATATCTGTTTGGTATTTGAATATATCTTGCTGCTCAAGAAACATTTCTGATTATTATCAATGTTGAAAATAGTTGCTTAATATTTTTGTGGAAACCATGATGCATTTTATTTTCAGGATCCTTTGATGAATAAAAAATTAAAAAGAACAGCATTTAGTGGAAACAGAAACCTTTTGCAACATTATAAATTCCTTTACTGTCACTTTTGATGAGTTTAATGCATTGTTGCTGAATAAAAGTATACATTTCTTTAAAAGAATGCATTGACCCTTGAACAGTAATGTAAATAAGGTCAATTTCTACATCAACCTTCTAAAGAATGAAGCACTGAAATCTAATGTATGAAAGGCACTTTGGGCCATTGTACTCTTAATGAGTCATGGGTGTGTTTTGGGCGTAACGTGCAATAAACCAATCAGAATCTCATCTCCCATTCCCTTTAAAGGCCAGTTGCGCTCGCACCATGGCAGAATTTGCAAGAGCAAAGACTGAATGCTTCTCCAGAGAGGAAGTTAAAGCATTAAAGCGAGGTTAAAGCGTGCGAGCAGACCATCTACGGGGCACAATAATAATCTTTTACATTGTAATCCTTTCATTTTTAATATTTGGCATGTTTGTGCGCTGCTGCACGTCCCTGTGTTTGTAATAAGCAGAGTGTACGCGTGTTGTTCCCCCGCCTATAGGCGCATATTATTAACTCGCTCTTTAATTAACAAAAAAAATATTGCGCCATTGACTTTAGACCAGGTTTCAGTTGGTCAAAGGCGCAGTCTATTCCAGTTGCCTCAAGATAGCAACGTGCCAACAATGCGCCTGAACACACCTCGTTTTCAGACCAGCACGCCCATGGGACGCACAAATGGGCGCAAATGCATTTGCTATTTAAACAACGTGGCGCAGGATGTGAAAATGACAACTGCATCGGGCTGAAACTAGCAAAAAACACTTGCGTCCATGATAGGGCCCTTTGTCTTTCTTTAGTTCACATTAAAGCTTTCGTTTCAGAAATCAAGAACTGTTTGGATTTCAGCATGTCCAAACACAAGAGGATGTTTAAATTGCACTTTGTGTGTCACATTATTCACTGTTATTATGACATGGTCCAAAGTATGAATGAGGTGCTGGAATATAGTTTGCACGTCACGGATGCCCTTTCAAACACAGTTTGCCTGAAACGTCAAACATGCATCTACACAACAAACACTCTTTATCTGTGAGGTAAGCCATTTTTACATTTTCAAAGTGTCCTAAAGCTTTTTGAAACACAAATTCTGAACTTTCACAAGTAAACAACAACAGTACTGGTAGTCTGGTTCTTCATTTGAAGATTTGCAAGCAAGGAAAATCTATTTCCATGGCAGGGAATTTGACATGAATATTTCTCCCAGTTTCGCCACGAGAAAGATTGCGCATCAGTCGAGCGTGTGCTTGTAGCCCAACAATCTGACATAAGAACATGAGTCACTTTGCAACTGAAGCAAAAGCAGATTCTTATTGAAGTCAGCAAAATGTCTGAGCATTCAGAAATTTCCCCTGAGAGAGAGAGTGAAAGAGACAGAGGGAGAAGTACAAAATATGGATTGAAAGGAGTGAGAAAGAGTGAATCATCCTGTTTAATTCTATCCATCAACTTCAAAGCTCAGTCTGAACTGAATGAAGCAATACGATCTGATGCCACTGTGTGTGTGTGTGTGTGTGTGTGTTGTCTGAGATTAGCTGGCAGGTTCTGCTCCTCAGTGTGTCCTTCACCTGACAGTGTGGCTCTGTGAATAATGTTTTGTCTTCACACCGAAGCTCCAGCTGAACCTGACGTCCATAAATCCAGTGAGCAGTTCTGTCTCTCTTTCTGAGGTCTACATCCAAACAACCCCAAACTCATTCGTTTCCTAAAGAAACTCTGTTGCAAAACCTAGTGAGCATTTTAAGGTATCACAGGAGCACCGTTACAAAAGGTGTGCAGTATCATGATGCTTCAGACCTCATTCTGAGGAAGCATCGCATGCATCTTTTAAGGATCTCAAAATGCATATTCATAGATGATGGACAGGTGTAAAGAAAAGCCCATGATAGTACAGTCAGTACAGAAAAGTATGCATAAAATAGTTCAATAGCATTAAAAATTGACTATTTTCCCCAATCTTTGTGGGTGCTGTTTTTCCTTATGTTAGGAGCATGTTACCTTAGAACTTCTGAAGTATTTTTTCAGAACTTTTCAAAATCTTAAAAGTGCGTTTATTTTAATGTTTAAATTAGACTTTGAATAACAGATTTCCAGTGTGACCCTAATGGAACACGACTGTATGTGTGTGAATGTTGTTGTCCACACAACACCGCCATAGTAATTTGTGTGTGGAATGTTGAGAACTATGTATACAGACTTATAAATAACCAGCATTTATAGCGGTAATTAATTTATTGCTTAGAGCAACAAATGCAGAATAAATGGTAAGCTGTCAAGCACTCAATCGCGTAGCGTGACTGAGGCTAAACTGACTTAACCTATGCGAAAGCACAGCGCAGCATTGATCTGAAGCACCTCTTATGCGCAGCAGTCGCATTAATGGTTTGTCGGAGCCATGTGCATCTGTTGACTAGCGCAGGTTAATTCTCATACTTTAATATTATTTACAGCTCCTAACAGGCTGTGTGACTATGAGGAATGATTACCTCAAAATGTACCTCGTTATGCAGTTTTCCCTTATTGCTCGCGTGCCAGTGATTATCCCTATTTTTTATTTTTTTTACAGAAAAACCCTGTAAAAATGCTACAGTAAACACCAACGTAAGTTACCGGAGTCTTGTATCTCATGTGCTTCGAATGAGCAGCTCGAGATTTCAAGAAAACCCCCTTAACAGGCAAGGAAAGCCACACTGCTTTCAAACACAGCTTTGTGTGTTTATAAATGTGATGAGCTGTTTGTAACTCAATAGCTCGGTGTTAAAACAACAGAAGTCCATGGACAGCATCCATCATGACGTACCTTGTGTTTGATAGTTGAGCCTCCTCATTTCCACCGGGTCAGAGGAGTGGGCCAGTAAGTGATCTTTAACTCCAGCCGAATGCTCATCTTTAGCCGAGGGAGAGGACCGCTTCCTGTGCAGACAGGAAATGACATCAAACATGAGAGTAAAAACACAAAGAGATCAGATGAATGTGTAAATATGTAAGATACTTCTGTAACACTTTAAAGTAAGGTGGAGCAGGTCCTGTTGGTTGCGCCGTATTGGCCCACCCGGACCTGGTTTTCTGATCTCACGCTCCTTGCAACATCCCCTCCTTGGAGAATCCTCCTGAGGAGGGACCTTCTTTCTCAGGGGCAGGGCACTATTTGGCACCCATGTCCCAATCTGTGGAACCTGCACGTTTGGCTTCTGGACGGGACGCGGTAGACCTCTCAGGCCTCTCACAGGCTGTGATAGATACTATCACTCAGGCTAGGGCCCCCTCTACCAGGCAGGCCTATGCTCCGAATTGGGGTCTGTTCATTGACTGGTGTTGCTCTCACTGAGGGATGCCGGTCAGCGTTGTGTTTTTCTTCCTGTCCCCCTCCACTTTGAAAGTGTATGTCACTGCCATTGCAGCACATCACAATGCAGTGGAGGGAAGATCCTTGGGGAAGCATGACCTGATCATCAGGTTCCTGTAAGGCATGCCTTGCTCCCTCTTGGGATCTCTCTGTGGTCCTGGCAGGACTACGGGGCGCCTCCTTTGAGCCGCTTGACTCCTGTCATTTAAGACAGTGCTCCTGGTCGTGCTCACATCTATCAAGAGGGTTGGGGACCTGCAGGCATTTTCTATCAACAAATCGTCCCTTGAGTTTGGGCCGGCTGATTTTCATGCTATTTTAAGGTCCCGGCCCGGTTATGTGCCCAAAGTTCCCACCACTCCCTTTCGGGACCAGGTGGTGAACTTGAAAGTGCTGCCCTTGGAGGAGGCAGATCCAGCCCATGTGTTGCTGTGTCCCGTTCGCACTTTGCACATTACGTGGAACGCACCCAGAGCTTGAGATGCTCTGAGCAGTTCTTTTTTGCTTTGGAGGACAGCAGAAGGAGAAGGCTGTCTCCAAGCAGAGGTTGGCCCAATGGCTAGTGGATGCCATCGCTTTGGTGTACCAGGCACAAGGCGAACCGTGCTCCCTGGGGGTGAGAGCTCATTCCACTCGGAGTGTTGTGTCCTCCTGGGTGTTGGTGCACGGCTCCTCTCTAGCAGACATCTGCAGAGCTGTCCAGATGAGGAACCGCCCAGCCAGATGAGGCTGGGCGACACCTAATACCTTCGTGAGATTCTATAATCTCCGTGTGGAGCCAGTTTCCTCCCATGTGTTGGGTATAAACAGGTAATTTGCGGGAGGTCTGGCTCGGTGTCTCGCTTGCAGCACCATTCCTCTGGATAGGACATGTGTGTTTATCTTCTTCCAGTACGTTCCTCATCTGGTGAATCCTGGTTGGTTCCTCCAACACCCTGTGGCATTCAGACTTAGCGGAGAAGTCTGTAACCGCATCCAGTATTTGGGTTGCACACCATTAGTCACCCCCTTTTACTGGATTTAATGCCATACATGAAATTCCCTGGGTAATCCTGTATGTTCTTCCACGATACAGTTTCCCTTGATAAACTCGTGTTTTCCCTAGACAGTTTGTTTGGCTGTGCTGTGACCAGTCTCACTATTCACATTCCTATTTGAATGTGTCTCCGCACCCCAACGGTTGCTGAAATCTAGTATTGTGAGAATGTCAGAACAACCCTTTTTTTCGGCTTCATTGGTAAGCCTGTGTACTTGTAATGTGATCTGGCTTTTGGGGTGTTGGGTAGGTTACAGATAGAGGTACATCTGTCCTGACACGCTTGCTTATCAGCACCTGCTCATTCAATTTTCGTAACACAATTCTGGTTGTGGCACTTTTCATAGGGACCTCTAACGCCAGTGTCGACATAACATTGAATGTGACTGACTGAAAGGGAACATCTCGGTTACGTATGTAACTCTTGTTTCCTGAAAAAGGGAACGGAGACATACATCCCTCATGCTACAACCGTGAACTGCGCTGAATGATGGGATGCTTTCTCGGCTCCTCTGTACAAATCTGAATGAGTGGATGCACGCCGCCATCTTATATACCCGTATGTATGGGGAGTGGCTTGGCATGCAAATTCCACTCACCAATTGTCATTGGTCGTTTCTTGTAATGCTCAGAGGTGATTGGGGCTCTCAAGTGAGACCCGGAGTCTCCGTTCCCTACATACGTAACCGAGACGTTAACTAATAGCACCTTACTGTAAAGTGTTTACACATATTAACACATATTTCCTGTGTGTTAGTATGTGTTAGAGAGCTGTAGCACTAATCTGAGTTCAATTAAACTCTTCAATTGCCTCTCATTAAAAACCAAACACAAACAAGCGTTTATTATCGGATCAAAGAGAGCCGCTCAATACCCACCTCTCCTGTTTGCTGCATCCCACGGAAAGAAATGGAAAAGTAGAGGGAAGAAAAGAGAAAGTGTCAGGAAGAAAACGGCACAGGCGGTGTGTGTAGGGTGAATTTGTCAGAAATGTGGAAATGCCATTGCTACTAATGAGCTCCGATTCGAGCTGACATTTGCAAAATGAGTTTTCTTTTCACTCAATAGACATCTAACTTGAACACTAGGCATTTGATTGTCCTGCACTCTTCAATACGGCCAAATGGATTTGGTCATAATTGAGAAGAGGGACACATTTTGTCTGTGACTTTGACGTAATTTGGGGAGATCAGATTTTTGTTAGGTGTGCAATCAAATATCATTTCTGCAGTCTAGTTCAAAAATATACTACCATTATTTTATCAATAAAGTTCTGTCCAAGTGTTCAGAAAAAGAGTATTCTAAGAAAAAAGTTAATTGCTGACTGTCATACTAAAATAAGATTTCTTGACTTTTTGATTTTCTGCTCTTACACTGAGTCAGCAATGTCTCTGAGAGAGACTGGCTATTTATACCTGACAGGAGGAAGTACAGTAAACTCTAGTTTGCTACGCACGGCGAAAAAGAAAATATGGTCACTAAAGCAGAATGCAATACATACGATCTCAGTGCTGGATGACTGATCGTATTTTTCAGTAAAGTAATAGTACCTCTTGAAGAGCAGGATGGTGATGACGATGATGATGATGAGGACGACGGCCAGCACTGGTCCCATCACCCACAGCATCTCTGGGTCCTCAACGTGATGGGACATCCCGCTGTGGAGCTTCACCATCATGGGATCAGAGTAAGGGCTCACCGTGAACATCTTATGATACAGAAAGAAAGAGAGCATGGAGAAAGGACAAGAATTACTCAAAAGATCAAAACACACATTCTTTATTAGGACTACTTTCCATATTTCCACATTAAAGTCATCAAAACTATGACATAATACAGTACAAACAGAATTAAGGGAATTATGCAGTAATAAAATACATTCAAACTTTTTTTGTTATATTTATTTTTAATTTAATATTTCAATAATTTAAAAACACATTTGCATGTTCACGGTTCTCTGAGGTCAGTTAATGGTCACATGACATGCAAGTATACATATAATATATATTTTTATATTTGAATGTTTGTCTTTTTTTAGTAAGTGTATTTAAGTAAATGTTTACATAATCATTATTATTACTACTATTATTTACATTTTTTAAATTTATTTAATTGTTCGGTTCTCATGAATCGCAGTTTGGGAAACTCTGTAAATAAAAACTCTCCTAAATGTTGGTTCTTTCAAACTCTTTCTTTAGATACTTAATGCAGGGATTCTCCAACTTTTTTGTGAATACTTTGACCTCAAATATTTATTTTTTATTTAATATTTCAGTAACTGCATTAATATATATTTTTTAATGATGATCTTTTTTTAATAAGTGTTTATACGTGTATTTAAGTAAATGTTAACATTTCTTTTTCGTCAATTTTACATTTTATGATTTAATAAATTGTTAGGTTTTCATCAACTCACAAATCCATGTTTGGGAAATCCTGTAATAAATAAATTAAAACTCTCTTAAACTTTAGTTCTTCTAATCTCTTTGTTTAGATTCCAGCTTACGTTTACTCAGGTCATCAGAAGACTCTTAAACAACTTTAAACAATGCTTTTCCTTTATCATCTGGTCAAAACTCATCTATTTAAGCATGCCTGCATGAATGAATAAATAAATAATAGTTTTGTAAAGAAATTCATACATATGAACAAGTGGACATACATTATACATGCCTATATAATTATATATATGTCTATAAAACTAGAAAGTGAATACTTAAAGGTGACCTATTATGCAAAAATCACTTTTATAAGGTGCTTGAACACAGTTGTCTGGCCACAGTGTGTGAAAACAAACAGCCTATAATGGTAAAAATCCACCCACTCATTTTTTTTATAACGAGCGGTTCCAGATTTCTCCCTAATGACATCATACTAGGCAAAGTCCCGCCCATTTGTGACAATCTCTACTTTATTAGCATAGACACAGCCCTGAGTGAGAAGCAGCAGTCCGCCATTACTGTTTTCTTGCTGTAGCTGCTCAGCGCCAAAGAGGCATTACAAGTGTAGTTTTTCGGGATGCACCAACGAACATAGGAGTCTCTATATACTGCCAAGGACACGGTGGTTAAATTTCAGTATTGAAGGAAATGTCGCGGAAAAAACTGAAAAGTCCTATATGTTTGTGCTAATCATTTTACGCTGGACTGCCTCACAAACGCATCATATTTTGTTTTCCAAAAGAGCTTCTTGGCACTCTGTAAGGCTAATGTTGCTAAAGCTACCATGTTGCCTGTATGCCGTAGCATGAGCTCTTGAAGCTCCTCCCTCTGCTGAAAAGGGAGGCGGGAGCACCGGCTCATTTGCATTTAAAGGGACAAACACAAAAATGGCACGTTTTGGCTCATACTCTAAAAGTGACAATTTCAACAAGCTATAAAAAATTATCTGTGGGGTATTTTGAGCTAAAACTTGGCATACACACGTTGGGGACATCAGAGACTTATTTTACATCTTGTAAATAATAATAATAATTCATTACATTTATATAGCGCTTTTCTAGGCACTCAAAGCGCTTTACATTGTCAGGGGTATCTCCTCATCCACCACCAGTGTGCAGCATCCACCTGGATGATGCGACGGCAGCCATATTGCGCCAGAACGCCCACCACACACCAGCTTATTGGTGGAGAGGAGACAGAGTGATGAAGCCAATCAGTAGATATGGGGATTGTTAGGAGGCCATGATGATCAGAGGCCAATGGGCAAATTTGGCCAGGATGCCGAGGTCACAAAAAGGGGCATAATAGGTCACCTTAAAATGACACTATGAACATTATTGTAATGCATCATACAGGCTCTATAGGATGTGTTAGAGGATGTGACAGAGATCAAGCAAAAATAGATTTTGTCTTTGGTGTTGTCTATGCCATCTCCTATAAAAATGTTAAAGGGGTCATATGATGCTGCTAAAAAGAACATTATTTTGTGTATTTGGTGTAATGAAATGTGTTTATGCAGTTTAAAGTAAAAAAAAACACATTATTTTCCACATACTGTACATTATTGTTTCTCCTCTATGCCCCGCCGTTTTGAAACGCGTCGATTTTTACAAAGCTCATCGGTCTGAAAAAGCGAGGTGTGCTGTGATTGGCCAGCTATCCAGTGCGTTGTGATTGGCCGAATACCTCAAGCGTGAGACGGAAATGTTACGCCCCTCACCATACTGTTGTATTCCCTCAGCGACCAGCACGGATCAGCTCTAGGCATGACAAAGCGGATATCGTCCTCTTTTGGAAGACCAAACAAAGTAGTTTCGCTTTCACAATGAAGCACACAGCGTCTTCAGGATATGGCGGCGGCAACAATACTACAGTGAGAATAAAAGTTACGTCTTCTTTCTTTGCGTGAACATTTGGGCGGCGTTATGCAAATCTTTCCACATAGTGACGTAGACATGTGGGGGCGTGTTAGAACGAGCCGTTTTAGGTAGGTGTGGCTGACTCTTAACTTTTATAAAGAATATCTCTTTGGATTTGAGACTTTAGTCTTTGCAACTTTACAGATCTTCTTCATGCACCAAGAGCTTGTAACACTCCAAAGAGAAAGGAAAAATCATCATATGACCCCTTTAAATCTTGTTTTCAGAAAAATAAATAAATAAATAAATCAAAATGAAGTGATTTTATGCTTAAAACAATAAAAATATGCAAGTGCACTGAGAAATAATTGTTTTCCCTTTTAATTAAGTTTATTTTTTGACCCTACAGACAGATCTTGTTTTTAGCATGAACTTTTTTCTTTTTTAGAAAATAAGACAATGTCATAAGTACTAAAAATAATTCTTTGCTGTGCATGATGGTGAGTAAATGATGACAGAGTTTTCATTTTTAAACAACTATCCCTTTAAAATTAATTCACAATCTGACATGAACCACGTAAGTTTTATCTCAATATAAACACAGATTAGAAAACTTATGTCTCATCTAATTTGACACATCTGTAAAGAAAAGCCAAAGTAGTAGTAGTTGCTCTTGCATTGCTCAGGAGACTTTTTTAATACATAAAATCAGATGCAAAAGGGTCTATAGTTGATAAATGTAGAGCTATAAAATGAAATGTGGAGCAGCTCAGACAATTTATTAATAAATAAGTTTATACAGAGATCTATATTTTTAAGCTACAGACAAATTTGAGCACAGATTGAGACATTGTTGAGATCTCTTCTGAAACTCAGATACATGTGTGAGATTCTCCATGAGATTCTCCTAGTTAATGCAAGAGAAGCAACAGCTGAGAAATTCAATTTATCTCGTTTGTTTTTTCCTCCTGTCTAAACATGTTTTATGTCTAATTTCACTATGCTTAATTAATTTATTTTTTTTGTCCACAGGACTGTTTTTGGGAAATGATTGGCAGAATGACCGACACCAAGGAACACAATTGTGCTCATTGTGCTGTAATCTTGAGGGACGGGTGAGTTCGCTAACGTTATTATTATTATTACTTTGAGAAGTACATTTACGTATTTATTTTATTTTGGTGGTTTGTCATGAAGACCTTTTTAAAGAGTTTGAAGACCTATCATGAAGAGTTTTTTGTTTGTATTTGACAAGTTTATATCAAATGAAATGGTGAAATGCTTGTGAAGTGACTCTCAGAGCAGCTCTGGAGATGAAATTCATGTGTTCATGTCCTCATTTAGTGAGCGCTGACGCTGAAACACCAGAGCATCACGTGTGCTTCAGTATGTGTAGCAGACAAACTGCAGAGCTCGTTCTCACAGAGACACGCAGAACATGCAGATTTCATATTTAAATTGCATCTTAAATAGCATCTCTCAAATCTTTTGTGGTTAAATAATCACAGACACTAGTCTGCATCACAATTTGAATTTGGTTAATTGTATAAGCCCTACTATTCATTCATTAATAAAAAATGTCAAATTTTGTGACATTTCGTGACACTTCGATGACTGGATTCCATGATTGCACATTTTCACAACAATCACAGGGCTCTAGATCTGCCGGGATATTATGATCATCACCTCTGTCTCTCTCTGCAACAGGATGAGCTCCGGCGTGACAGCAGAGTGAGAAAGCGTCTAAAAGCGCTGTGGGAATCTGTCAGTGGGAAACTTTCATAGTGATCAATTTAATCGGCACTACCTCAGATGGAAGCGCATCCCACAGCGTGAAAAATGCATCTCTGACTGACTCCATGCAGCCACTATTTACTGATGCATATTCATGTGTGTTTTGATTCCTCCTTCACCTCTCCTCCATCTCTTCATCTGTAATGCTCAGGTCTCTCCAGCATTAATGATAGCATCTCTCTCTCCTCCGCTGTCACACTCTCTGCTGATCTGCCACAGTCCTTCATGTGATGTCTCCTTCTCCTTCTTTCTTTCATCTCCTCCTCCTCTAATCTGTTTTTCTTTAAGTGCTGCAGTTGTTTTGCAATCGACCCTTTTCATCCGATTTCACACTCGCTAGTCTGTTTACCAGCCCACCGCAGACTGTCCTTTCACAAGACCCTCTCATCCTCTCCTCTTTTTTTCTTCTCTGATCCTCTCCTTTCATTCTTTCTTTTTGAAGATTTAAATTTAAGATTTGAGAATGAAAAATCAGACTGATTATACTTTTGGTCAGATCAGTGTTTTAGAATCATTGAAATGCAAAAAATGATTTTTGTACTCAAGATACATTTACTTGAGAAGCAAAATGACTTAAGATATTAGGTCTTGTTTTCTGAAAAAAAAGAAAAGAAAAAAACCTTTTTGCTTAAAATAAGAAATATCTGCCAATTGCCAATAGGGTAAGAAAAATCATCTTAATTTAAAGGGAAAACAATTAGAAGATATTTTCTCATTTTAAGAAAAAACTCACTTAATTTTGAAACTTTTTTCAGAAAACAAAACTTAATATCTTCTCAAGTAAATGTTTCTTGATTTACAAATATTTAAATGTTTGTAATGGAAAACAAAAATACAAAGTAAGAAAATCATATTTTGCAGTGTATTATTATAGTTTTTAATATTTTGAATTATTTTTATTTTTTAGATTTCCCATTTTAATTTTATTTACAGATTAAGTAATTCTGATGTGTGTCATTTGTATTATTTTCAAATGCCTATTTAGTTTGTATTATCTTTACTTCAGTTTTAGTTTAGTTATGTTAGTACATAAACTAAATGAGAAGTGTTGCCTTTAGTTTTAGTATTATTTATTATTTTAGTATTATTTAGTATTACTATTATTACCCTGGGTCACACTAAATACATTCCCTACGTTATGGGGACCAAACGTTCCCACTAGTATAGTAATACCAGTAAATTTTGACCTTGTAGGAACATTTTTTTTTGGTCCCCATGAGGAAACCAGCTTATAAATCATACTTTTTTGAAAATCTAAAACAGCAGATAGTTTTGTGTGAGAGGTAGGTTTAGGAATAGGGTTATGGTAAGGGGACAGAAAATAGTTTGTACAATATAAAAAGCATTTTGTCTATGGAATGTCCCCACCAAAAAATGGAAACCAGTATATGCGTGTGTGTGTGTGTGTGTGTGTGTGTGTATGGCTCACCGAGTCCCGGTCTTTCAGTGCCGCCAGTATAAATGTGCGATACTGCTGCTGTCCAGGTAGAGGTTTGTTATAGAAGCTGTTGTAGGTTTTCCCGTCTCCTAACACGAAGGTTTCTGGAAGAAACTCCAGCTTGGCAGCGATGTAAGGTCGCAGGAAGTCCTGAGTTTGTCTCCTCCTTCTCTTCCTCACACCTGAGTCTCCATTACTCCCCAAAAGCTGATAAAGCACAGAGAACACCTCACATGAACCACATCAGTAAAATGATCTCAATACACTGGGAAAAACATATACAATAACATACACAAGATTTATAAGGTGCACACACACACACACACACACACACACACGCACACACACACATACACGTACACTACCTTTTAAGGATGCATTAAATTGGTCAAAAGTGACAGTACAGACATTTATGTTATAAAAAGATTTCAATTTTTTTTAAATGTATCACGGTTTCCACAAAAATACAAAGCAGCTCAACTGTTTTCAACATTATATAAATAATAATAAATGTTTCTTGAGCAGCAAATCAGAAAGTTATTATGATTTCTGAAGGATCATGTGACACTGAAGAGTAATGATGCTGAAACTTCAGCTTTGCATCACATGAATAAATGACATTTTAAAATATATTCACATAGAAAACAGTTATTTTAAATTGTAATACTATTTTACATTATTACTGCTTATACTGTATTTTTGATCAAATAAAGCCAGCCTTAGTGAGGAGAGGAGACTCCTTTCATAAACATTAAACAATTTTACCAACCCTCAAACTTTTGAACAATATATTAATATATTTTCCAGCAGTCCTCTAGGTCTGTGCTGAACTGCTGATTGGCACTTTCAGTCCATGAAACAGCTGGACTGTGACCCAGAGGTCAGATAGATACCAGCCTCAAGTGCTTCAGTCACAGGCATCATTAATTCAAAATGACACACACACTGTCTCCAGTACTTGTATCTGTCTCTTTATAGACCACTTCCTCTGTATCTCCATCCCTCACTCTTCCTCTCATTTCTTTCTCTCCACAACCATAATAACTGACAGACCTCAGTTTCTTTCACTTTAGTAAAGCACATTTGGTGGAGACTGACTCAAATCCAAGGTCGCAGGATTGCAGCTGAACAAATGGAGTCTAGCAGCAGAGAGAATGAGGACTGCAGCGAGTATAACTTCAGCACAGTGATAAACACCAGCACAACACGCGATCCAATAACACAGCTCTCATTTGACTCGGCAACGCTCATAAATAAGGGGTAACTCGGGGGAGAATGGCTGCGTGAAAATGGGCTGTTTCAAAATGCTGGTGACACCATTGTGACTTTTACAGTGCCGCTGCATTTTGATATTCAGTAGGCAGCACCTGAAAGGTTTCCCCTATTTTGCAGACATTAGTTTATTGAGAGCAAGCAAACTCATGAGAAAGCAGAAATGTGTTGGAGCCCAAAAGCTCAGTAGTAATAACAAAAATGCAAAAACGCCAAGAGAAGCTTTTTAAGAGCCCTCAAAGTGCCTGCGTCTCAACAGCTGATGCACAGATGCAGAAGAACTGAGACGCTAAAAACAGATGAAAAATAACGAGCGGAACAACAAAGTAGTTGCATCATACTGATATATGTTCATAACATAAATAAGGTAACAGGGTGTGTGTTTGTTATTTTTATGTGATCATCACAAACACAAACTCACCTCATCCAGATCCATATCCTCCGGGTTTTCCCAACGGCGTAGAGTGGATGTAGTAACTGGCACCACCACTATATAAAACCAACTAAGAGGAAAACAAACAAACAAGTCATTAACAATATGATACATTTTTTCTCTGAGGTCTTTCTTACCATGCACACAAGTTTGGGGTCAGTAAGATTTTTTTTACTGTTTTTGAAAGAGGTCTCTTCTGCTCACCAAGGCTGCATTTATTTGGTGAAAATGACAGTAAAATCAGTAATATTGTGAAATATTATTACCATTTAAAATAACTGTTTTCTATGTGAATATATTGTACAATTTTATTTATTCCTGTGATCAAAGCTGCAGTTTCAGCATCATTACTCTTCAGTGTCACATGATCCTTCAGAAATCATTCTAATATGCTGATTTCTAAATTATTATCATTGCTGAAATCAGATGTGCTGCTTCATATTTTTGTGGAAACCATGATACATTTTTACTGCATTCTTCGATGAATAGAAAGTTTAAAAGAAGATAATTTATCTTAAATAGAAATGTTTTGTAACACTATAAATGTCTGTCACTTTTGATCAAATAAATGCATTCGCACTGAATAAAAGTGTTCATTTATTTTAAAAAATTGTACTGACCCCAAACTTTTAAATGGTAGGATATACACAATGTGTATTATAAGGCATTACGAATATCTTTATACTATTTATTCAGTACTGTCACACTCAGTACATCGCTGCACGACACAAATGACGCTGTTCATGAGTTACACCTGTTTCACACCACACACAACACTGAGATCATGATAATGAAAAGCATGAACCTCTTCAACTCTGATGGAGTTCACAAACCTTTCTAGCTGTGCTTTATCACAGGTTCAGCAGGTTTGTTTGTGATGAAACCATCTGGTTGGGCATTACACCACTGATTGCATTCCTAAATGAATCTGTGACAGTCGTGCAGCCTGTGGCTCATTCGGTGACTGAAACAAACACTTGAAACCCAATTAACGGCTGAGTATTCCCACGCTCTCATGCCAGCCTGAGCAAGAGCATTGTTTGATACGTGTGATGCCTGTAACGTCTGATGTAACTGCCGCTAACAACCTCGCTTTGGCTTTGATGAAGAAAAATGCCTGGTAGTTTCTAATTAAAGGATTTCTGAGCTGTCTTTGGTCAGAACCGATCCTGCGGACAGCGTTCAGGTCAGACTGCACCGCATTACACCAAATCCAGCTCGCTGCAGTGAACTAAGCCCGTGTGAGGCGCTCCTGTGAGCTGCGATGGGAAGTGTTTGAGTATTAGCCTTCAGCCTCAGTCTCGCTAAAACACAACGGTCCAATATTTGCCCAGAGAGGAACAGGATTCTTGTCTACGTGCGCTGGCAGAACTCTGAGAGTCCAGCAAACATCGCCTGAGAGAAAACACATGAGCTGTTTTAAGATAAAGGGTGAGGAATAGCAGTGCTAACAGTGCTGCAATAGATGAACAGTAATGATTATGGTTGCTTTTACTTTGACATAAAATGTCAATCATTGAAAAAGAAAACATTAGTTTTGTGTTTTTTTCCTCTGTTTAGTGTCAAAGCACTTAATGTAGCCCACAAGCAATGTACAGTACAGTAATGTACATACACTCTCAGTTTTTATTGATCCAAGTCATGCAATGCAAACCACTGATACAGAAAACATTGTTTTTATAGGGGAAAACAAACCCTGGTTTCCATGGTTACTCTTTTATTCCCACTGGGGGAAAATAAAGAGACATTTCAACAATGTTTGGAAAGTTTTTTTTTTTTTTTAATGCCAAATGAAGCGAAAACAACAACAGCAAATCTGTCAACTATATGAATAAAAGAAGCTGAATGAAAAATGCAGAGGATACAAACAACTCAGCAACAAGAGGAAATGGAAACCTGGGGAATACAGCCGCAGCAGAATTTGTTTTGCAGATTTAATAACAGGTAAAATACATATCAGTCATAATCAGAGCAGCTACAATGTAATGTATCATGTTGTTAATAGCACTAGAGAACAATAAACTATATGTGGTGAAACTTGAAATGTTTGGAGATGGAAATGGGAATTTCCGTTTGGAAATGGAGTTGTAATGTATTTTAGTGGAACAAAGTGTTTTTTTGTGACATTTTCTTTATCTTATTTATTTATTCAAAGCCAAGCAATGTCACATACTGTACTGAAACTCTCTGCTACTCTTCACTCAGATATCCCCCATTCTATATGACTATACAATAATAATAATAATAATAATAATAATAATAATAACAATTAAAAATAAGAAATGTAAAAATTAAACAAATTAATAAAGTAACATATTTCTATTGAAATAGTATGTACTGTAAAACAAAAAATGAGAATTTAATATATACTACTAATACTGATTAGAGTAATTGTATTTTATTTTAGTAAAATTTTGTTTCAATTAAAAAAAGCAAAAAAACAAACAAACAAAAAAAATTTTTTTTTTTTTGGTTGTGACCTTTAAGCTTCTCTTTTGTTGACACCTTTTTCTCTGTTGTTGATTTATAAATGATTCCCATTACAAATTTAGGAAGATGGTTGGTGTGTGTTGCGTTTTCAAATGCACGTTATCAGCAAGCCAATTTAACAGCACAGCAGAGATGAAGCTCGTGCAGCAGCTTTTACTGTGAACCAAGCTGAAAACACAGGATCATGAGCTGCTCACGTGTAAATTAACACAGTGCCGAGCTTCACTCTGAACTAGAGTTCTTGCAGTGCTGTTGGAAGCTATGCTATCCATATAGGTTGCTAGATCCATAATGATGACAACACTAACATGACCAGTGAAGAACTGCTGGCTGCACAAGATTACAGCGTTTCTCTGACTGACCTGATGAGGGCGCTGTTGTGTATTTTGGGCAGAGTGATGGTGAGTTTGCCGCCCTCCTCTGGGTCTTGTTTGTGAAGGGCCGGTTTGGTGGTGAACAGGTCCGGGGCGGTGCGGATGGAGACCTGCTGCTGCAGTCCGCCGGCGCTGTTCCCACGGCTCATCAGCACAAAGGAGTAATCCGTGTCCGGCTGCAGGCGCGTGATCAACTTCCTCTTCAGGTCGCCCTGTACCTCGACGCTCTGCTGGTTATACAGGATCTGGCAGCAGGGGGCGCACAGGTTAACTCAGTCACACAATGAGATTCATTTTACACTGCGTTTCTGCTTCATGACTGCAGCATCTCACCTTGAAAGGCACTTGGGACTTGTAGGTTTCTGGCACCTCCCACGTGAGCAGGACAGAGGTCTTCATCACAGCTTTCACACCAAAGTTTTTAGTGAACTCTGCAGAGGAGGTGAGAGTAAAAGAATTACTGCATATGTCACAGATGTATTTACACAGAGGAACCGCAACGCTGTGTAAAAAGACTGCACTGATTAACATGCTGTACATACATCTTAAGAACTTCATCTCAAACCACACATGAAAAATCAATGCCAACTCTCTGTTATCTGCATGTGGCTTATGCTTTAAGGAAGATGAGAAGTCAGAATGCAGAGAAATGATGACACCATCTCAGCAGACATATTTAAAGGGATAGTTCACCCAAAAATAAATATTACATCATCATTTTGTCACCGTTGTCATTTCAAATAATACATTTGGGGCTTATGATTAATTGTCAAAGAAATAATTGCAATTAACGATTTAATTGTCTGTTTTGCTAATGTTACTTACAGTATGAGCTAAGCTTAATACATTATTTATATTTTATTTGGAAACCCAAGTACCCCCTGTACATTTCTCTTTAATGCTTTGAAAATAATATTTTAAAAGATAAAATATTTTTATTTTTGTTCAGCCATAATATTAATCCACTTTACATTCACACTGGAGCCAAGCAAACCTGAAAAAAAAACAAAAAACAAAAAAAAACGGCCTAGTTCTAATCCTGCATTACATTCTTCCATGGAACACAAAAGGAATATGAAATGAAAATAAATGGGAACGGATACTGTTGAGCTCCAAACTTAACAAAAAGGTACTCCATATGATCCATGGAAGAAAGAAAGAAAATCAGACAAGTTTGGGAACGACATGAGGGTGAACAAAACCTTCATCTTTCTATCAGAAGATGGGCCGTATGTGGAGATTGCAGTGACTGCAGTTCACAAACTGCACGTCTGCTTCCTCTCCAACCATCTGCTCAGTGTGAGTGCTTTTCAATGCACACTTTACATCTATATTGTAAAACATTTTCGATTGAAACAGAATTTTGGACGGAACTTAATGTTATTCATGACCATTGAACACACTGAATCTTGTCCAAGATAATTCAAGATTTTGTCCTAACAGCTGTGACTGTCCACAGAGTCACGCATCGGACATGTTTTCAGTTGCTAGGCTCTATTTTTATCACACTGCACTGGGAAGCTCCTCCCACAGTGAAATCTCATTGGACCAAATCATTAGCAAAGAAAAACCACAAATGAGATCTCTTTAATGTCTCAGGTGGTTTTCCAAGCAGCAGTGAGATTAAATAGAAATCAAATAGAGATATTTATTTCTTAAACCTCCCAGTTCTCTGATTTTTCTTCTGAGAGAAAACCCTCAAGAACCAGGGCTATTATTGTTAACTAAAACTAAAATCATTAAAAAACAAAAAAACAAAACCAAAACATTGCTTAAACATGAACACTGAAATAAAATAAAATAATAAAATAACAATTTTTATTGCAGATAGCTGCCAAAGCAATGTTTATGATTTTTGTTTAATTTAAATTGATGTACTAAAAAAAATAAAACTAAAAACTAAGCAAAAACGTAATTAAAACACTAAAAACTAATAAAATGTCAAAACAGAACGAAATTACTTACAATTTTCACTAAAATTGTAAAAAAAAAAAAAAAAAACTGAAATGAAAACAGAAAATATAAAAAAAAACTAATTCAAATTATGAAAAAAACTATAATAGTATATCAATAATGTTAAAATAACACTACGTAGCTCTTAATGTCTCATATACTTCATGTTGAATTCTTCCTATTTGACAGCAATCTGTGACTATCCTAATTATATCAAATGAATTTAAAGCACAAATATCTGAATAAAAGTTGATTCTTAAAACATAAATAAACCCTCCTTTAAATCTTTAAATCTCCTGAGATTTGCAAGAGCAACGTCAGAGCAATAAAGATTTTCTCTGGTAAATACAGCTTTGAGATCAGTTTTGATTTGAATTCCAATTTTGCTTCCTTAATGATTCCATTAACGATTCTTTTAGAACTTTTGAAGCAGCTACTTCACAACTGATTAGTGAGTCTTTTCTGACTGATGCATTAAAAACCTGCTCATTAGAATGATTTGTTCCTGAATCAGACTATGTGCAATCATTTTAACCAGTGAGCATGTCGCAATAAAAGATGTCTTTCTTCTTTTTACTCTCATCACATTCAATTCAGATTGCACAATTCAACTCAAACTCACAGCTCAAATAAAACATCATTTCGTTATGATGTTATGAATTCAATAAAGGTGCAGCATCACTTCTGAATTGCAATGCAAGAGTATTTTAGTGCCGTTTCATCAACATCGATGGATGAATGCAGACGTTCAAGAACAGATCATGAAAATAGATGTCATTCAGAGCTCTTTAAAAACTCACCAGGCATGGATGTAGACATGGTTCTGCTCTGGATGCTGGGGCTGATCGGACCCCCTCCTTTACCCGTGAACGCCGTCACCCTGATGTCATAGGTGGTGTCCGGCTGCAGACCCTGGATGGTCATTTGCATCTCGGCGGTATCGTTGGTGTGGTTTTGATGGCTGTTGATGTCACGGTACACCACCACGTAACGTATGATCTTCCCGTTCCTCTCAGGCAGAGGCGGAGGGTCCCAGGCCAGTTTGGTGGTGGTGGTTGTCAGGCCCACCACTCTGAGGTTTTGTGGGTAACTGCTGGGGACGTCTTCTGGGGTGCTGATCTCTTTAATGTACTCCTCTCCGTTTCCCGCGCGGTTCTTGGCGCAGAGCTTGAAGATGTAGGTGGCGCCCTTGTGCAGGCCAGTGACGGTGAAGTGGTCGTCGGTGCGTCTGAAGTCACGGGTGTTGTAAGTCTCCTCCTCTTCACGCTTATAGTGCAGTCTGTAGCCCATCAGTTCGCCCACCATCTCTTTCGGCAGCTGCCACTGGATCAGAGCTGTGTTCCCGATGGTGGTGCTAATGATCATGGTGGGCTTGCCAGGAACTACCAGTGACAGAGATAATACTGAGTTAAAGGCATAGACCACACAAAAACACCCAAACAGGTTTTGGTCCCCATTGATTCCACAATATATATTTTTTTCCATAGTATGAAAGTCAATAGGGACCAGAAACTATTTGGTTAGCCATGTTCTTCAAAATATCTTCTTTTGTGTTTAGCAGAAGAAAGAAATGCGTACAGGTTTGGACCAACTTGAGGGCGAATAAATGCTGACAGAATTTTCATTTTTGGGTGAACTGTCCCTTTAATATAATTTGATTTCTGTAACTATGGTATTTTGGTATAGGGTTACACCAATGAAATAAAATCCTTTGTTAAAACATTTTGCGATATTGTTGCGATACAACAATAGCACATCAGTGTGTTCATTTACATGCATGTAGCTCATAATACTCTTTTTTAAGAGTTTCACAGTGGTTTTGTTAATTTACTGTGAATCAATCTGCTCTGAGACTTTGAAACGGCATATCATGAGCTGCACACGTGTACATGATGAACATAGTGGTGCTTAGCTCTGAAAACAGCAGCACATATATTTATTTGCAGGCAAAATATCAAAATAAATGTTTGATGGTTTAACATTTGAAAATAAAGAATTAAACAGTCCTGTAATTGTACAGCTAAAATTTTTTTGTATATAATAATAGTATTATTGCAATATATAATCATATATATCTATATCTACATATATCTATATATTTATATATACATATACTGTTGAGCAGTGTCAATGTTTTCCAATATTGTGCAGCTTTATTTTATTTTGGAAGACAACATGGTCACTCTAGTTCATTTTGTAAGGCACTACATGGATAAATCCTCTCCTACCCAATAAGAAGAATGATGTGAATTAATATCCACTTCTATTTAACTTGCAGTACTTCGGCCAGATTGTTCAGAAGATGAAATGGGTATAGAGCTACAAATACAGCTACAGTGACAGTGGAGGTCACTGTGAGGTCATTGTGGGCTTGAGTTTGAAGGTTTAAACTACAGTTTAACTTTTTTTTTTTTTTACCTCTAAATGCACTTAAACTCTTTCATTGAACCCTTAAACACACAATCTCACCAGCCCCTGTTGTGGTCACCACTTTAGCTTTGCTGCGTGCTCCATCTCCCTTAGTGGTGTATGCCGCCACAGTCACTGAATATGTGGTTTCAGGCAGCAGGCCAGTGATGATGGCCTCCTGAGAAAGACACAGACAGAAAGAGAGAGAGAGAGAGAGAGAGAGAGAGAGAGAGAGGTCAACGGATGGCAGTCAGAGACATACTGTGCTGTTGCTCCTTTTTCATCGTTCAGCACGCTGTCACAGTTGTGACATGTCTGTTTAATATCGTTAGTTCATTTCAAGGTTTTCATTAAACTTTAAGCATTCAGTCAGGACATGAAGCTCTTTCTCAATTTCCAGTCTGTACCTGGTCAAGTCAAGGTGCTTCTCACTTTCCTATCAGTCACATCAAATCTTTTTAGAGCCAGACAATGTTGAGTTTTATTTTGTCTGGGGTTTAAATGATGATATAATCATGTTTTCTTGTGGTCAATAAGCGGTAAGATGTTTTCAGAATTTAACTGCTTGTTTTGTGTCTTTATAATTCAAGGATAAAGGTCAAATTCTAGTCAAATCCACACTCGTTCTGCATGCAAAGTTTCAAGTACTTTCACCTGATTTAATTTAGAACCAATACAGGATTTTTGAAGCATAAAAGGCTCTTCTATATTTTCTTTGAGTTTATTCACTGCAGGGCTGAAGGAGCCTGTGGAAGCGTCTTTAAAGCCTAAATTATTACAGCATGTTGAATGTGTGATGTGGTTGGTGCCTAATGTGAATGTGTTTTTATTCCCCGAGATCTTGATCATTTTCAGAAGGTCATAATTCTAGTTTTATTCATTTCCCAAGCAGGTTTGCCAGTACTACTCCTGTAGATCTAGTTTCCTCTGACAAGACTCCAGCTGCTACATTTGATAAAACAAACAGAAAAATCCATCAAAGCATCTAAGAATTGTCATCTCAAGCAAAATAGTGCAAGAATGAAGAAAACTGATGCAGGGTTTTGTTTCAGTGGGTGAGGAGGCTGTTTGTGTCTGGAAGAACGGCAGGAGGCCGCGCATATCTGCCAAAACCCTTCTGAAGTTTCTTCCTATTGAATTTAGATGTGTGACATATTGCAGTCTGCATTTTCAGGGGAACTTTAGCATCACAAAAAGACTGAAAATCCGGAAGAAGTGAAAAATGTTACAAACACTCCCACATGTATTTGTAGGAATGAAAAATACCAAACATGCTCAGATGTTTGTAGTAGAGAACATCCTCCAAACCAACACCTGTTCATGCTCAAGTTCTGTACATACAGATGTCTCTGAAATTGTCAAATGCTTGAAGATTGAATACATTTCCCAATTTTTTCTGCATATGATGTTCATTAACCATAACTCCTTGTAAACAGACACGGTGAAACAAGCAAACAAACAGCAAATTATCCTCACCAACATAAGAAACACTCATTCTTGCTCTTACTGTAAACCTAATGCATCCTTAAATCAATATGAAATCAAAACTGATAATATATTTTTAATAAACGGAAAAAATTGGTATGGGATTTACTTTAAAACAATTTTCTCTCAGACATAGCTAGTAAATTTCACAAATAATTACAAGGAAATGGCAAGTAATTCCCACTTTTCATGATCTAATCCATTTCAAATGGATAAAATCACATCCCATCCATTTTCTCTCATTGAATATCAGTTTCTCCTGGAAATGCATCACCGTGCAGAAGTAAAATAGGTTGCAAACTGAGTTGCACACTGACTTTAATTATCACTTCACAGCTAGCCGCACAATTCCAGACTAGGGCTGCACGATTAATCGCATGCGATATTTAACGCAGCACGCAGGTGATGGAGATTTACCGCTGATTACAGAACCGGCTTTACTGATAAGATGCGCGTAAAATATCGCATGCGATTAATCGTGCAGCCCTATTCCAGACTCTCTCTTGCAGGAGATCAGAGGAAATGTGAATATGTCAATCATCTAACGCATTTAAATGCTAGTTAAAAGCTGCAGTGTGGCAGGGGTCCCTCTCTCAAAACGCGCATTTGCTTTTTTGCTTTATTTCCTGTTTCGAGTAGTCCGTCTTATCTCTGGCATGTGTTTGGGGGAGTCATCGAGTCCTGAAAAGTGGGAAGACTTCAACATTTCACATTAAGGCAAGATAGATAGGCTGCCTGTGGCAACACAGAGTTTACCAGAGCCGACCAGCATTGAGAGAGACGCCTCTTTATCTGTTTAGAGTGATATCACTGTCACGACTCATTAATAAAGAAGAAAAGGCAACAGAGAGAGATGGAGGGAGGGCTCAGACACAGACAGACCCACATACAGACAGAGAGCTTTAACAGGGCATAGCTGCACATGACAGCTGAACATCAGCCTCTATGAATATGTAAGGCACAGGAAGAGAGATGCAGGCTGCCAGCATCAGAAGACGAGATGATGCTCTGCACACCTCAGTCACACACCTGACACAACAATGACTTTTAAATACTTCGACAGCGATTTGTGATTACTGGATGAGGATTTTTAGAAATCATTCTACAGAGGGATTTTAGCCTGCCACATTGCCTTTAATAAACTAATCAAAGGACACAAATCAGGACATTACTTGTTTGATAAAGCTTTGTGGTAATAAATGGTAATGGTAAAACCCTCAAATATGTAAAATGCTATTTTTGTATTATTGTGTTGTTTTGTGTTGTATTTTTATTTAGCATATTAGCTAGATGAGGCTTTCTAAAAAAAAAAACTACTAAAACTAAATAAAACATAGCAGATCTATACAGGTGGAGCTGGGGAAGGTGGAGGGTTTCTGAAGCAAGCAAGCACTAGTCATATATTTGATTGTTGAGCAGCGAGCTCACTGGCTACCGATACAGGAGAGAACCAATCAGCTGTGCCATGTGATAATGATGTCATTACGTCAGATTGAGTTAGACCTATCGGACTGCGCCAACAGAGTTTCATGCCAGAACTCTGTATTAAAATACTTACAACCATCCTAAACAAAATGCAAAACTACTAACACGCTAGGGCTGGGTGTGGACATATTGACATATTATGACATATAATATTGTATTTTATGATTTGATTCAATATTGATTCTATGGAAATATATTTTAGGTTCAAGTCCTTTTTTCTTTAGGAAATAAATTCATAAACAACAGAAACTAAATTAAATTGCAGTATATTTTTAGATATGATAACCAAAACTAAAATAGAAACTGGGTTGTTTATGTAGTTTTTATATCAACTTTCTGATATAAGTATGTTTCTACCCAAATTCGTTGTTGAAATTGAAACATTTAAATGGTGGCTGCCAAAAAAAAAAATAAATAAATAAAATGTTTTCATAACATATTTATTTAAAGGCAGCGGCTATTTGCACTAAGTGAAAATAGCATATTTTCTTAGCGACAGAGGCTATTTACGCTAAGTGCAAATAGCAGGATTTTTAACAATATGCTATTTACACTAAGTGCGGATAGCGATAGATTCTATTTACACTATGTTAAAATAGCAGGATTTTCTGCTATTTATACTACTTATAGCAAATAATGGCAATTATCTGCACCTCAGTATTATAGTACATTATAAAACATTATGCAGTAATAATGTATTGAGTGTAAATTATAATTTTAATTCAAATTATTAAACGGATGCCACCTTATTGGGACAATAATGCCGTCCCTACACCTACACCTAACCCTACCAGATACTTTATTTTCAACTTTTTGATTATTTCCTTATTTTTTATTGAAAATAAATGCCTTTCAGATGTGATATGAGATTTGAAAAGGGAGGGAAAAAAAGTTTTGGCAAAAGGCGGATTCGAACCCGGGTCGATCGTGTCAAAAAGACAGTATGCACATTACCATCTACGCCACTGAAGCTGAAGATTGTCTGCCGTCTTTTATAATGTTGACCATCCCTATCACACGTTTGTGGGTGGAGCTAGTGTAAATAGACACTCCGTTATTTAAACCCACATTAAAATCTATCTATCTATCTATCCTGCAAAAAGAACTGACAAATCCCCTCAACTAATAGACAGATTGACAGTATGGATTCTGTACAACTGTTGCATAAACACAATTTTATGGTTATTTGCATTTTATAATTTGTATTCAGAATTATTTCTGTGACCCTTTCAAAACAGACCAGGAACTCATTTTTGGATCACAGCCAACCAGTTATTAATCTAAAGCTCCCTCTACTTAAACAGCAGAGCTTCAGGTAAAATCAACAACTTTATTCAATGGAAAATAAAGCTCCCAGTGGACAAGAGATTGAGAGAGAGAGAAAGAGTTCGACAGAGACAGCAGTGATACATTTGAGTTGTGTAGTATAAATACAGCATCTTCAGGGTGCGGGCTCTTATCTTCAGAGAGATGAGGGAAGATAAATCTAAAAGATTTTAGTGACAAATCCATTTGTATGAAATTTCATAAAGATGTTAATTCATTCCCCAATGGCAGAACACCAATTCAAAAAACCATCACTGAGAGCACTTGAGCAGACCGAGAGCGAGAATGAAGGAGCTGCGAGTCTCCCGTCTGTAATCACAACACACGCGCAGTATTTCACGAGGCAGATGGAGGCGTATTCTTGCCGTATGCCCACATCCCACAACACACTGCAGTCACTCACACAGTCCATGGAGTCCCACTGACACACACACGCGCCCACACACATGCCGTGCTGATGATTTAGCCCCTCTGTCAGTAAGTAGAGATTAAGTTTCACCTTCAGAGGTTAGAGGATAACTGCTTATTCAGCACTTCGCTCAGGGATTACATTTTCCCCTTTATTCCCCTCAAACACACACACACACACACACACACATGCACGCACACACACACATGGCTCAAAGAGCCCGCTGTCTGCCAGTCAAAGCCTCACTTCCTGCACACGTCTGAGGGCAGCAGGGTGATTTCTCCTCTTAATATGGCAGCTGCATATTCAGTCGACACTTTGTCCTCCCCCAGATGCACATGAAGCGCTGCCATCTCACCGCTGATGGAGGGATTTATATTCTGCTCCATAACATTGCTGACTAACAGCAAATAAAATACACAGCGCCTTCAGACTCTTTGAAAATGCATTAAACAATCATAAAACAGCGAATATAAAAACACAGAGGGATGAGAAAGCTAAAGCAAGATAAAAGAAGCGGTTCAACGTTGATGGCACGAACTGCTCGTCAAACACGAATGTGCATCTCCAGCTCTGCACCTCATTTTATAGATTTTGGGTGACATCTTTCAAAGTTTGGATGCCATACATTTACCAGCTGTGAGATGAGAAATTGCTGAGATACATATGAGAGTTTTTTCATGACATTGCTCAAAATTGTTTCAGGCAGAGAACAAAATAAGGCTTTCAATTCTTCTTTCAAAATGTTTTTTTTTTCTCTTTTCAACAAAGTTTAAACATCAAAAATTAAGACACAAATGTATAAAATAAAACAAAATAAAACACCAGCATCTGTAACAGGGTTGCAAATCTGTTTTATTTTATTATTACTTATATACTATTTATTAATATTTTAAATTAGCTCTTTAATTTTAAGTTTCATTAATTTTGTTTTGTGTGTTTGTCATTTTTATTGTTTTTTGTTTTATGTATATGTATTTATATACAGATATATATATATATATATATATATATATATATATATATAA